TCCCCTCCCAGGACTGCCCTGTGCTGCTGCTCCATGTGCTGGGAGCTGGAGCCACACATGTGGCTTGTGAGAAGAAATTCAGGGATTGCTTTTGCCTGTGCCTTGAGACACAGCCTGATGCTCCTGCTGGCTGCTTGTGAAACCCAGCTAGCTGCTGCTCTGGCTTAGGGCTGCTTCCCAGCTCACGAGTGTTTTCTGGCTTACAAGAGACCTGGAGAGGGACTCTAAACAAGGGCCTGGAGGGGCAGAACAAGGAGAAATGCCCTGTCAGAGAGCAGGGTTAGATGGGATATTGCAAAGAAATTCTTCCGTGTGAGGGTGCTGAGGCCCTGGCACAAGGTGCCCAGAGCAGCTGTGGCTGCCCCATCACTGGAAGCATCCAAGGAGGGGGCTCAGAGCATCCTGGTCTAATGGAAGGTGTCCCTGCCCATGGCAAGGGGTGAAATGAGATGAACTTCAAGGTCCCTTCCAACCCATACCATTCCGTGTTTTGCTGAATCACCTTCCCCCTTCCCCCAGTCTCCCTTAATTTTAATTTGTTTTTACCAGCAGTCTCTCACAGGTAGTAACAGCGGTCTCTTTTGATGGATATGTTTAATTTCCATCCTTTCTGCCTGTATTTGATAGCAATACATGTGTGGGGGCTTTAACTTCCACAGCTCCAGTTTGGCATTCTTGTTACTGCCTTTGCCCGTAAGGCATTGACTGAGCAAGTCTATGTTAGGGGTCCAATGGAACAGGGAATCATGTCCTGGTTACAGTCTCCACATCCCCTTATTGTCCAAATGGGCTGCTCAGATGTGTCACATTGTCTTGTTCTCAATGGAGAAAATGAAAAATGAGATAGGCATGCTCCTTTGGGACACCTTCCACCAGACCAGGCTGGGTGCAAGTCTCTGGTGTGCTGGATTTGTGAGAGAGTCATGCTGTTGCAGCCTCCAGCCAAGGAGCTTATGTAGCATTTGTATTTTCACATATTTTTAGTTCCAGTCACATTGTATGTCCTTATAAACCCTTAAATAAAGTGAAGCTTTTAGTAAAGATGCAGTAGCAGTTCTGATCAGAGAAAGGAGTCCACTGGTTATTTAGATTTGTTTTGACTTCTCTAGGGTATCATAAAGCATCAGATACTTAAAATTTATAAATATATGTCTGTGTGTATAAAGAAAGCTTCATTATTAGATCATGTGGGCACTGCCCAGGCTCCCCTGGGAATGGTCCCAAGGCTGCCAGAGCTGCAGGAGCGTTTGGACAGCGCTGCCAGGGGTGCTCAGGGTGGGCTTGTTGGGGTGGCTGTGCAGGGACAGGGGCTGGACTCAATGGTCCTTGTGCGTGCCTTCCCACTCAGGGTATTCTAGGATTCTGTGATAGGCTTCTGCTGGATTTTTGTAAACCTTTTAAGGAATTCCTTTCCAGTGGACAGAAGCCTCTAATGCCTGTTTTGTGATGAAGGGTTTTGGCAAGTCAACCTGCCTCACCTGGTTTGGAGGGAGTGGAAGGGACACCTTCCACTATCCCAGGTTGCTCCAAGCCTCATCCAGCCCGGCCTGGAACACTTCCAGGGATCCAGGGGCAGCCACAGCTCTCTGGGCAGCCTTTGTCAGGGCCTCCTCACCCTTACCTTGTGGAGGTTTTGCTCCTCTGGCTGGTAGAGCTGAAACTTGAGCCCTTTCCTGCACAGAGGAGGCTTTCCAGGAGGAAATTCCTGCCTGTCCTGCAGGGCGTCAACTTAGTGGTGGAGGTGCCCAGTGTGACTGTGAATATGGAAAAAAACACAAGTCTGAGATGGGATTTGCTGAATGCCACAACTGAAGTGTTTATTTCAGAGGCTGCATAGAAGCTCAAGCACTGGGACAGGGTCACTCGGAGCCCTGCACAGATGAGAACAGAACTGAAGGCAGCAGGTCAAGCATGCACGAAGTGCCTGGCAGAGCCCAGGCACAGACTGGAGGCAGGACAGAAAGTTGGGGTTTCATCTCAGGGTTTCCCTCCAAGAGCCTCTCATCCCATTTCTGAGCACGGCCTGGTAAGCCACACCAAATCGGATAAGAATCATTTCAATTAGCTCGTTAAGTGCCGAAACTTCCCCCAGCTCCCGCTCCCGCAAACCCCAGCGCTGCCTCGTGGCTCAATAACCCCTGGAGCTGGAGTTAAATCAGATTTTGCCAGACCATCTGTCAGCTTGTTTGAGCCGAGCACAGCCATGTGCCGTGCACAGAGGAGCCAGTGGAAGATTTTTACATTTTCTGACTAGACAAGTTGATTTTATAAAGCTGATTACTTTTTAGTAGTGGTGGGGGCAGAGGGAAGTTTTGCTGGGATTGCTCTTGCCCACATCAAGCATCATTTCTCCCCAAGATCTGTGGTTCCTTGCCTCCGATACCTTTCCTTTGTGTGGACGGTTGGTGTTGATTCCACATTTGGTACATGTACAGCAGCAGACACTTAAAAGCTGGGAATGAAAGTGGCTTGTGGTAATTATCACAAAATTAATCTCCTGCTCTGGAATTGTGACAAAGTGCAGAAACAAGCTTAGTGCAGCAGGAGAGCAGTGGCAGCCATGCAGGGAGAGCACGTTCCCCTGGCCCAGGGCTCTCAGCTGTGCTGTATTCCCAGCGATTTCCAGTGCTCAATCTGGAGCAGCATTAGCTCCTTTGGATTCCCCCGTGGTCTGGAAGTGCTGCTTCAGATTGTGCCCTGAAAGTTCATTAGCCAAATGCTCACTTGGAGCTGTATTTCTTGCTCTCCAGGCCATTGCAGGGTGTTTTGTTCAATGATCACAAAATTGTGTTGGCTTAGGCCAAAGAACAAAATTTTCAGCACTGTTCGAGCTCACAGTGGTCCTGAGACATGTGGTGCTGCAGTTTGAGGGCTGGAGGAGTGACAGGGTTTGTGTCCCTCGCTGTGTGTGTCACCTGCCCATGTCACTGACATCCCTCACCTGAGGGGCCCAGCCTGAGTGCGTGACCGAGGGGAGCTGCTCTGCACCCTTCAGGGTGCCCCTCTGCTCGCTTCTCTCTGCCTGTTTGCAGTGGCATTGTGTGGCACAGGGAGTGGCATTTCAGTGGCTGTTCCTGAGGCAGGAGTTGGGCACTGTTTAAAAGACAATAACAAGAAGTGACTCTTCCCGTGCTGCCCTGGCTCTGCCCCGCAGGCCGGGCTACAGGCCCGGGGGTGCTCTGCAGACAGCTCCAAGTGCCAGGTCACAAGGCCTGTTTCACATGAGGGACTGCCCAGTTTGTGGAGATCAGGATGGTGAGACACCTGCAGCACTTCTGAGTCAGAGCAGCTTCATCTCCCCTGTGATCACCAAGGGTTTTTTCTTGGGTTTGTTGTTTATTTTCTTTCCGGAGTCTGAAATGTTTTCCAAAATGTAACTGAGTCACACACTTCCCTGGCGTTGTCGTCCCATTATCATGGAATCTTGGAATGTTTTGGGTTGGAAGGAGCCTTACAGCTTATATTGTTCTATCCCCTGCCATGGGAGGGGCACCTTCCTATAGACCAGGTTGCTCCAAGTCCTGTCCGGCCTGGCCTTGGACACTTCCAGGGATCCAGGAGCAGCCACAGCTGCTCTGGGCACCTGTGCCAGGGCCTCACCATCCTCACAGGGGAGAATTTTTTTGCAATATCCCATATAACCCTGCCCTCTGGCAGTAGGAAGCCATTCCCCTTGTCCTGTCCCTCCAGGCCCTTGTCCACAGTCCCTTTCCAGCTCTCCTGGAGCCCCTTCAGGTACTGATGCCCAGGTTCTTGCTCAGGCTTCTTCTGAAACAAGCCCTGGAACAGCATCACTGCTGCTCTTTGAGGGGGTTAAACAGGTACCCTGGGTATACCCTCAAAGTTCTTCCTTAACCAGATGGTGGAGATGCTGAAGCAACAAGAGTTGGGCTGGGGGCTCTTGGGCTTTTCCTGCTCTCCAGCCAGGAGACAGAGGACAGAGGACATCTGCTCCCTCCCAGACAGGACCACCCCCTAATTTGAGTGTAGATGAACTCAAAACTGCACTCAATGGTCTTTTACAAAATTAAGCCCTTTCTGAAGGACTATGGATTGCTAAGGATCTGTGCCTGTAGGAACGCCGTAGGACAGGAGCAGGGAGTGGCAGACTCATGCGTAGAAGTAAGGCATTAAAGCTGTCCCTTGAGTTTGTGTTCTGTGCTAGAGACTCCTCCATGAGAACTGGTCTGTGCACACACAGGTGCTGGGGTGCTGTGGGGAGCTCCTCTCCAGCAGCTCTTGGTCCTTCATGGTAGCTCTCAGGAGCCAGCTGGGCTGGATCTCACGGTCCCACATTCCACACAGGACTCTGTGCTCCCTGCTGTCTGAAATTGAGGAGCTTCTTGCAAACTTGGGCTCGGAAAAACTCAGAAAAACAAACTCAGGCTAGGAAATGGGAGATGGCCTCATGTCAGAGGGTTTGGGTCTGTGTTTCCAGCTCTGATTTTATACGTAAAAGCTTAAGGCAAAACCCTGATTTCCACTGTTGGCTGTAATGGAGCAGCAGTGGCTTCTCCTGAGGCAGCCATAAAGACGAATGATGCATTCATTTATGTGATATATTTGGACATAGGCTTCTATAAATATATTCAATTATCAATATAGTTTGTCAAGTGCCTTCCGAGTGGCTGGAAAACAGCTTCAGGAGTGTCTCTCTGGGTTTCTGTGTGGATCCAACTCTTCAGCATAATGTGGAACCACTGCTTAATGGGGCAGCAGAGATTTGCAAGACCTCCCTGCTGAAGCCTCTAGGAAATACTGTTGCTGGGAAAAAATGTGCATTTTTGTACTTCTGAATATGAAATTGTTTGGGTGACTCCTGTACCATCAGATTCCTGCTCTGGTGAAGCTGAAAACTGAGTAAAACCAGCTGCTCTAAAGGCTGGCTGCTGTACTTGTAAAGACAAAGCTTTGAGCTGTTTTCTGAGTTCTGGTGGTTGGGTTGAGGATTTTTATTGGGTGTCCCTACTTCTTCTGATGCTCTTCTCTTTTCTCTGCAGGTCTGGGCCCAAAGAAGACAGCCATCACTGAGGTGAGATGTGTAAAGCTGGGTTTGGCAATCCTGTGTTGAGAAATGAGAACACAGAGCTCTAGGAAACGCTTCTGCCTGCCTTTTTTTTTTAGCAAAACTGCATTTCAGAATACTTATGAGATTACTACAAAATCGATATCTGTTATTTGGGAGAAATAAAATTAGTGCCAGGTCTCCAGGGTCACTTCACTGGCATCACTGCAGCCACAGAAGGGATGTGGAGGCATTGTGCCCATCATGTGGCCAGTTTTGGCTGTGTGATCCATGATGCCTTTGCATTGGTGACTGAGGGCACCTCTTCCACACAGCACCTGAAGGTGGGAACTGGAGAGTGCGTGCATTGGGCATCCCCAGGCCTTTGTGATGGGTCTTACCTGTCATTGTCACTGCCTTTTAATGAAGGGATGGGACTACTTTCTGGCTAAGAATGATTTATTGCTCAGATGAACATCTGTCTCAGAGGCTGTGAGATTTCAGAGGAGCAGGCAGTCAGCAATAGCTCAAAGAAGTCACAAGTTCTTCATTACAAGACAATACATAACTTTCTAAACCCACAGACAGTTGCCACAGGGTTTATTTTGCTTTTCTAACCCATCACCTTTACTTCTGCTGCACAGGGGATACTTTTGTCCAGTGGGCTGTTATCACACACATACACATATGTTCTATTATAACTTCTAAACTCTTAGCTTACTCTATACAACCACACCCCTACATTATAAACCTTTCACTATCATACCCAATAGTTTTTCACTTACTTAAGGCATATTCTTACTTACAACTACAGAAACATAAGTTTATGTTTTTTCTACTTAATGTCTGTGTATTGTATTTTTACCTCAATCCAAGTTTCTCCCAAGACTGCAAATCAAACCCTTCCATGTCTGTGGAAGTTTCTATTTTTCTGATTCCCACACTTACCCACTGGGAGCGAGTTAGGGAGGCTGTGATTTGTGAAGCCCTAAAACAGGGGAACATCTCCAGGGACTCATCTTCTCTTGTAGATATTCCAGGTCACAGGTTCTGAGTCACTGTTACCTTCTGGAGCAAAACTCTTCACAGTTGGCTGCAGGGAATCTAGTAGGAGGCTCTGTGCCTAAAAGCTGTTCCCTGAAACCCACACTCATGGTTTAGGGCATCATGTTCAAATGATTTTTGTTTGATCAAAATTTTTTATATCCCCCTTCCCAATCTTCACCTGTGATGATGAGCATTTGTATACATGAACAGCAAAATCTTCCCAGAAAATTGCCTGGAATGTGACACTTGATTCTTTTGTACCTGCACAGGAATATGTGTAGTGGGAAGCTCAGCTTCTGTGATTGCATCATTCAGTGCACAAATAGGGCCACTTTTTCTTGCCCTGGAAACAGCCACAGGCAGAGCAGGAGACTGGAAGAGACTTTTGTCACTGCAGTTCCTAGGATGGCAGTCCCTTCCCCTGCCTTGCCTGCTCATCACGTTGGGAGGATGATGGTGAGCCATTGGCAAGGCAGGACAGCACAGCTTGGGCTTGCATGGAGTAAGATTCAGTGGGTTGGTAGAAGGAGAGGCTGAGCTGTGCTGCTGCTCACAGCTGCTGGAGGAGGAAGCAAGGCTGGCCCTGCCAATAAAATAGGGTAGGAAATGGGATTTTTGAAGAAGAGCTCAGACTGCCCCTTAGAATGAGAAGTACGAGCAGATTGACCAGAAATAACTGCAAGCTCTTGATCAAAAGCTAAAGTACAAAGAACTTCTTAGTCTGAGCAAAATTATCCATTGTCTGCTGGAGCAATTGGTTCAGAGCTGGGTCTGTGCAGCACTCAAGAGGGACAGGGATAGAGCAGTGTCACTTGGGAAGTGACCTTGGATCTCTCTGTGTATTGTTCAAAGGAACATCCAAAGCTGTTCTGCAATGTTGCAAACCCTGAAATGGTGCTGGTTTCTCACCAGCATTTCTAGCTGTCTGCTGGGCTCCAGAATCCATGGGGATCAGCTGGCAGAGAGCTTGGGTGTGGGTGCAGTGGTGACTGGTGGTAGAGTAGAGAGTCCCTAGGGCTGCAAAAGGAGCTGCAGGGAACTTCCAACACCTGGTTACACCGGGCTGTTAAAGGAGCAGCCACAACCTGTTCCCTTCTGGGTTGGCAAAGAAAGGCCTAGGCAGACTCAGAGGTAGGAGAGGAGAAGGGGACAGGAGCAGATTTGCTGTCACCCTGAAGTGCTGGCAGTCTATAGCATTTCTGTAAACTTCAAAACCTGTGGAAGAGACATTCCTGTGGCTCACCCTGTGTGGGCTCAGCCTTGGAATTGTAAACAGATGAGATCTTGCTTAAATGGATTATCTCAGTGTGAGTGGGGCTGGGTTGTCCCATCAGCTCGCTCTGATCTCTCCAGCAAAACCCGAGGTGTCAGTGTGACACCTGAGGGCGTGGGATTTTAAGAATAAGTCTCTGTGGCTGTTTGATTTAATACATCACTGTTTTAAATCAATGGGAAACTGCAGTCAAGCACCGGGGGAATCTTGGCAGCTGGATCTTTTCCGAGCTCGGCGTCTTTGCTGAGGCTCTGCAGCGAGCAGAGAGGGTATCAGGTGAAGTGTTGCTATTCAAACTCATCTTCATGGGTGGAAGTATAATTCAAAGAGCTTCACTTTCACCTGTTGGCACTCTGCCAGGTGTTCTCCAGCAGTTCCATGAGCCCTGTGTGCAGTACAGTGTGGGAGTGTGGCTGTGCTGCTCTCTGTGTGCTTGGTGGCAGCTCAGCCTGTGCCCTGACTGTCCCTGTGCTCTCCTTGCAGGGCCCCTCACTGCCAGGACAGCCAGGCCAAGGAAAGAAGATTGGTCATCGAAGTGTGGATGCTTCTGGGGAAACCACCTACAAAAAGGTTTGGGTTTGGGGAGTGGGGGATGGCACCCAAGTGGGTGACAGGCTGAGAGAAGTTATTAATCTGGTTGAGATTTTTATGCAGCACTCTCGGGCAGCACAGTCCAGTAAATAGCAAATCTGAAACCCTAACTGATCTTCTTCTGGGTAAACTTGGTTAGCAGAGTGTGGTGCCTGAGATGACCCCACAAAAGTCACAGACATGACTGTGTTGTAATGCAGGGGATGTTATTGTGATAGTCTGTTGTGAAATGCTCACTGACTGCACTTTTCCTTTTGCCAGACCACCTCGTCCACTCTGAAGGGGGCCATCCAGCTGGGGATTGGGTATACTGTAGGAAATCTGAGCTCCAAGCCAGAGAGAGATGTCCTGATGCAGGACTTCTATGTGGTGGAGAGCATTTTTTTCCCAAGGTAAAGGAGAAAGAAATGAATGCATGAATTACTTCTTTTCTTTTCCCCTCACTGATTTTTCAAGAGAGCTTCCATCTGTCTTTAGATCAGAGTTGTATGCTCTGAATGTTTTAAATCTGCTCCATGATACACAAACAGAACAGTGGGAAGTGTTGGAATCTGCAGTGCACTGGCCTGCAGAGAAGCACAGTGAAGGATGCAGTACTGTGCACTCCAGTTTGTTACCCTTTCTACGTGCTTGTCTTCCTAACTGTCCATCTAGAATTTCTTCCACAAAATCATACCATGTTTTATATGGAAGCAACACCTTCTGGGAGCTCTCTAACTGTGAATAAACGAAGCTCATAAAAGTTAGGTTCTCTGTGTAAATATATTCTGCTTGGCAAGTGGTTGTTCCTTTAATCTCTGGAAATAGATTTTGGCAGATAGTTTGAAACCTGTTTTCCTACCACAGAAGAAAGGTGGTGGTTGTTGTTCCAAAGATGTCTTTTCACAAGGCTCAGTGCATCTGAAGCACACAGTATCTTTGGTGTGGCTGTCCTTGTCTGGTGAGTGGTAACAGGCCGTGCCCGTGTGTGTGTTCTGTGCAGCGAAGGCAGTAACCTCACCCCGGCTCACCACTACGCCGACTTCAGGTTCAAGACCTATGCCCCAGTGGCTTTCCGGTACTTCCGAGAGCTCTTTGGGATTCGTCCAGATGATTATTTGGTATGGATATATTTTTAGATTTTTCTGTCTTGTTCTCCTTTATTTACCTTTACCATTGAGGGTGGTGAGGCCCTGGCACAAGTTGCCCAGATAAGCTGTGCCCCATCCCTGGGAGTGTTCCAGGACAGGTTGGATGGGGTTGGAGCAACCTGCTGTAGTGGAAGGTATACATGCCCATGGCAGGGGGTGGAATGAGATGGGTTCAAGGTCCTTTCCATCCCAAAGCATTCCATGATTCCAAGTCTGAGTTTGCTGAACGGCAGCTGCCAGCCTGTACTGGAGGGAGGCCATGACCTGCACACAGTGTGAGCTGTGTAAGCCCTGCAATGGGCTTCCCTCTCTGGTCCTTGTGGTAACAATAACTTACTGTGTTTACAAGCCAAAGGAGTTGTGTTCTGCTGGGTGCGACCCTGGAATGTCCCCTGCAACTCTAAGGACAAAGATGGGAATTTTTTCTTGTGTACTCACTGGAGAGCTATGTGAGTGTAGTTATTTTAATCATCTTAAAAACACAGAATAAACCACAGCTTGTTCTTGTGCTTCAAAAGCTCCTCAGAGCTGGAAAGGCTGGTTTTCAAATACCTTGGAGTACAAGCTGTTGGGGCTTCAAGTGCCCTGTGGTTGAATTTGGGCCCTTGCCTTTATGTGACATCTTGTTCTATGTGAACTGGGGAAGGAAACACATCCATGAGAGCACATCCTCCCCTTCTGGGACAGCCCTTTTTGTGTGACTTCACCTGTAGATAGGGGTGGTCGCAGCTGGGCACCTGCCAGTGAAACAAACCCATGCCTGGTGGGAGGGTAACAGCGATCTCCTCCTGTGCCAGCCAAGGCAGTGCTGCCTGATGGATGTGTGTTCAGAACTGAGGACAGGCAAGGAGTATGCCTCAGTCGCAAAGGTCATGGCTTTGATTTGTTGTTTCTGCTTCTCCTGACTGTCTCTTGCCTGCCACAGCAGCAAATGCCTTTAATTATGCATGAGATGATTAGCTTGATCAAGTCTGGGATTGTTAATCTGTGCAGAGCTGAAAGCTGTTTTCATTACATAATGATGAGCATTTAATTTATTGTTCTGATCACCTTCCTCTCCCCATCTCACCTCTCACTGAGCAGTTTTGTGATCCTGCCCTGAACCCACCTGACCCCCTGCACTGTCTGGGTGGGCACTGAGCTAAAAAGTGCATCTGCCTGCCTTGCTTTCTCTTTTTTTCCCTCTGCTGCTGGGCAAGTCCTTATCTGAGGACCTTTTTGTGTCCTGATGACCAGACGTGCTCTCCCAGTTCAGGTCCCAGTGCAGAACTCTGCTGTGCTTCAGCAGGGCTCGTCCCTTTTCATTGCACACTTGGGATAAGGCTTGTCCTGTGTTTTTAGCAGGATTGATGGAGTGAGTTGTGGCTGTAAAAATAGAGCCAGGCTGGATGGCGCCTGGAGCAGCCCAGTCTAGTGGAAGGTGTCCCTGCCCATGTATGAAATGAGATGAGCTTTAAGGTCATTTCCAGCCCAAACCATTCTGGGATTCTGTGAATCAGGCACTGACTTTTTCAGGGAAGAGGGGAGCACAAGGCCAGGGGAGGCTGCTGAGAACAGCCAGTGTGTTGTGTTCCCTCCAGCACAGTGATATGTGGTTCCTGAGCAGGCTGTGGCGTCTCCTGGAATCCTCTGTGCCCGTCAGCGTGTGCTGGGCTGTGCTCAAGGAGCCTGAATGTGATACGTGCGTGCAGGCACAATGGGAACAGATAAGATGTCATTATGAAGGCTGGATGTTCCTGAAAGCAGATGATTAGTTGGATACTGAGCAGTTGGGATGCTCTGAACTTTAATCTTAGTCTCTAATTATAAATTGTCCATCAGTTTGGTTGCTCAGACCAAACCTATAATGAAAATACTTCTCACTTGAGCTTTGCTACCCCTTAATCTCCCAGGGAGACGACGTCATGGGGGAGGTCCTTGAGGGCATAGAACTCTAATCTGCAATAAATGGGGGATGAAGCATCACCTTCTTTTCTTTTTCTCGCCAGTATTCATTATGTAACGAGCCTCTGATCGAGCTGTCCAACCCCGGGGCCAGCGGCTCCCTCTTCTATGTCACCAGCGACGATGAATTCATCATCAAAACTGTGATGCACAAGGAAGCTGAATTCCTGCAGAAGCTCCTTCCTGGATACTACATGGTGTGTATCACCCAGGACCTCAGACCCAGCTCAGCTTTGTCATGGCAGCTTTTCTGTCATGGCAGAGCATCTCGCAGGGCATGTCCTCCACCTGGGTGTCTTGTGGCCTGCCCCCATGCCAGGGACAGTGTTAACAGCATGTCATGAAGCCAGTCCCAGAAGCACAAATCCTACTGATTATTTGCAAACTCTGTGGGTAGACATGAGGCAGATAATTGTGCTGTAGTTTCCAGGCATGTTCTGGCCTCAGAATGGCTTCCCAGATGTGCACTTCTGAGTGTTGTTTTCCCAGAACTAGTTCATTCTTCTTCACTTGGCAGTGTGCATATTTCCCAGCCTGCATTTGGGGATGGCTGCTGGTTGCAATCATAGAATAGTAAAACTCTTAAGGTTGGAAAAGACCACCAAGATCATCAGGTCCAACCTTCCACTCAGCACCATGATGGTCACCACTAAACCCTGTCCTCAAGTGCCACAGCCACACCTTATTTGGATGCTTCCAGGAATGGTGACTCCACCACTGCCCTGGACAGCTTGTTCTAATCCTTTACAACCCTTTCCATGAAGAAATTTCCCCTAATATCCAGCCCTAACTTTCCCTGGCACAACTTGAGGCTATTTCCTCTCATCCTGTCCCTTGTTCCTTGAGAGCAGATCCTGACCCCCACCTGGCTGCACCCTCCTGTCAGGGACTTGGGGAGAGCAAAAGGTCCCCCCCTGAGCCTCCTTTATTCCAGGCAATAATGCAACCACCCTGGTTTTGTGGGGAAAGCACTGCTGTCCCTGAATCTCTCCCATTCCTGCTGTGTGACTGTTACTCTGAGGATTGTCCTGACTCCCACTGGCAGCAATTCCAAGCTGGAGACCCCCAAGGTACCAGCCAGCTTTGCATATCAGTCTGGCAAGGCAGGATATTGAGACCCAGAGACTTGCACTGGGTCAAGTAAATTGGACCCAAACCTGCTGTTTTGGTGTAAAAACCAGGAGCTGGTCTCCCTGCACAACCATGCTGGAGGTTCCAGTTTTATGGATGAGGACTCTTGACATTCAGTTACAACAAGCAGGGATTTTTTGTTGTGAAGATGCCAAGGAGCAGCAATGCTGCTGCCCCATCTGTGTGCCTGGTGCAGTGGGGTTATGTGATCCTACACTGGTTCTGTGAAAATCCTTCCCTCGCTCAATATTTACTGGGGAGAGTTTCCCCAAGAGAGGCAGGTTATGGGATGTCTGTGTGTTAGTGACAGCCATGCCAGGAAGAAGTTCTCCCCTGTGAAGGTGGGGACGCCCTGGCACAGGTTGCTCAGAGTAGCTTTGGCTGCTTCATCCCTGAGAGTGTTCCAGGCCAGGTTGGACAGGACTTGGAGCACCCTGGGACAGTGGAAGGTGTCCCTGCCCATGGCACAGGTGAAACCAAATGGTCTTTACAGTCCCTTCCAACCCAAACCATCCTGAGATTCTGTGAATCACTGGCTTTTGCAGGTGACACTCACATTCCTGGACAGGGTGAGTTTTCTTGGAAAGCACTGCCTGTTGCCTAATGTGTGTGGTAAATCAGTTGTGGGGTTTTGAGTGGGAATGGAGTTGCACTGTTAATCCTGCCATCATTAATCGGTGGGTTTTGAGTGGGAATGGAGTTGCACTGTTAATCCTGCCATCATCAGTCAATTAAACTGAACTTACCTGTCTGATGCAGAATTCTGAGCAACCTGTTGCAGCTTTCCACTGTCTGTGGGTTCTGTGGTGCTGTCCCTGATCACCCTGCTGCTCCTGGGAAACCACCCATATCAAAGGAGTCAGGGAAAGGAAGCAGGGTGGTTTCATCCTGAGTTACTTTAAAGCTGTTTCCATTTACCTGCCTCTGTTACTTTTGGCACTCTCCAAGAGGGCTCACTGCTGTGCCCAAGTGGGTGAGCTGAGGGGAATGAAACTTTAATGCAGTCACGTTTCTGCTGTCTGTCAGAACCTGTCAGGTCTGTCTTTCCTGCCACAGCGTGCAGAGAAGTTCTGTTTCCTTCCCAAATGTGCCCAAAGCTGAACAAGCAAATCCTGCCTGTCATGTCATTCCTAATTATTCTGCTGCCTAAAAAAAGGAGATGACAGCAGAACAGGATATCCGTGCTTTCTGCTTGACTGCTTTATAAAGCAACTCTGCAACAGGAGGAAAACATTTATGTTGTTTTGTTTAAAAAATAACCCTGTCCATGGTTTATTCTGGGCTGGAGAACAACTCTTGATTCTGACATTGGTGGAGAGATAAAGAGAGCTGTTATTTTTAAGTTTGAAGTTCCCACTTATTGTGTTTATTTCTCTCCCAGTTTGGTTTCCTTTTTTTAACTGCTGTACTTGGGGAAAGCAGGGGATTTCCGGACTTGGTTATTTGCCCAGAGACTGCTGAACATCTCAGTCCCTGTATTTTCAGGTCCTAAAGCCACTGAAATGCAGGACTTTGTCAAATGCATACACTGAGCTCCTGTTAAGTTCAGAAAACCTTTAAGCAAAGAATCCCTAGTCTAACTGTTGACATGCTTTGTGGTGAACACAGCAGGAATTTTCTGCTCAAATGACCTTTCTCCATGCTTTTTCCCCCCCTTGCTGCAGAATCTGAACCAGAACCCCCGGACACTGCTGCCCAAGTTTTATGGACTGTACTGTGTGCAGTCCGGGGGCAAGAACATCCGCGTGGTCGTGATGAACAACATCCTGCCTCGAGTGGTGAAAATGCACCTGAAATTCGACCTCAAAGGTTCAACCTACAAACGCCGGGCATCCAAGAAGGAAAAAGAAAAGTCCAGCCCTACGTACAAGGATCTGGACTTCATCCAAGACATGCCTGAGGGCCTGATGTTGGATGCAGACACCTTCAGTGCTTTGGTGAAGACGTTGCAGCGAGACTGTCTGGTAAGGAGGGGGCAACTCAGGGACAGGGTAGGGAACTCTGTGGCTCTCGAGCATGAGGAAGAGCAATTCCCAATTGAGAACCTTGCTAAAGAGCCCAGACTAGGATCAATCCTGTCTCCTGTCCTTTTTCCTGAAATCCAAGCAGTAGAGTTGGATCTCGTAGCAGCCTCTGAGGACTGAGGCTGTGCTCCTTTGTCTGGTGCATCACACTTTGGGAGCCTGCTCCCCTTGTAGCTACTTTGCTGGAGCATTTTCCCAGTCATTGTGCAGCAGATACAGTGGTGTTGTCTGCAAGCCTTCAGGCCTTTGCTGTGACTGTGGGATGGCCAAACTCTTTGCAGTCAAGCCCAGAGGTGACTGTTGGTTCAGAAACTTCCAGACTCTGTCAAATGAGTTGTTAGTGGGGATGTGGATGGGATGCTCTGCTTTGATTGCTTTGATTCTGTGCTTCAGGGTCTGTATTTCTGCTACTGGCTTGATATTTTGTCTTTGTTCTTGAACTCACTATTAACCTGTAGGTATTGGAAAGCTTTAAAATCATGGACTACAGCCTTCTGCTTGGGGTTCATAACATAGACCAGCACGAGCGGGAGCAGCTGTCGGAGGGAGCCCACAGCACGTCGGATGAGAAGCGTCCTGTGGGGCAGAAGGCCCTGTACTCCACAGCCATGGAGTCCATCCAGGGAGGGGCTGTCCGGGGGGAGGCCATCGACACGGACGACACGTAGGTGAAACCTGGGCTCGTGCTGCTGGGAGGGCCAGAGGTGGAGGCTGGAGTGGGAAATCCCTCATGAGGCCCACAGGAACTGTTCAAGGGAGCAGCTCTCCTGGGGTTTTGGTAGTGCTGCCATTGTGGTGGGAAAGGGGGAAGCCAGGGTGGGAAATAGTTCTGTAAGGCTCTGGCCTCACAGCAGTCTCTCATCTTAGGGCGGGCTGTAGGCTGTCAGCTTCTGTAACAGCCTCTAAACATCCACCCATTCCCTGGGGAGGAGACAGTTCTCGCTCAGCACCCAAATACTGGAGCAGAAGTAGGGATCAGCCTGTCCCTAGGAGCTTGGAGTTCTCCATCACTCCCATCTCTGGAATCCCTGGCAGTTCCCTGAGGCCATCCCAGGGGGGTTAGCAGACAGCAGTGTAGCCAGGTGCTCAAGTCACTGATGGAGCTGGAGGCTGGGGGCTGTCCCAAGCCTGCGCTGTGCTTGACCTGGCATTCTGCCTGGCTCCCTGGCTCTTGGGCCAAGGAATGGTGGAGTTTGCTGCTTGCTGCTGTCTGAAACCAGCTGCTGTGGGTTTGATGGAGGGTCAGTCCTGAGAGCTGAGGTAATACTGTGGTGTTTCCAGTCCTTCAGGCAGCATCAGTAATTGCAGTGGCTGCCTGAAGGAGTGTCTGGCACTCCTGTGCTTTGGTTGTGTGCTGGTGCCAATGGCTGCTGCACTTTGGCAGGATGGCATTAGTGTGGAGGGAACTGGAATCCTTTGTCCTTAAGGATTTACTGCCCTAATGGCAGACAGCTCTCTCTGACTCGATAAATAACCTGATCCCCAGAATAAAGTAGGCAGGAGAAAACTCCATGGTGCTTTCTGGCCCAGGCAGAGCTGTGCCACACAATGCAGGTTCTGTCACGACAGAGGTGTTTGGCCATGCAGGCAGTGACCCTGGGACACCTGGAGTCAGGCCAGGTCAGTCAGTGACTCCCATGGTTGTGCATAAAGTGAGCACACTGGTTTTAGAACGTGTCTGACACCACACCAGAGCCCCTTAGCACGGCTGCTGTTGCCCTTCCCCAGAGCTTGGGTGTTACAGGTGCTCTGGCTGAGGCTGCACCTGCTGAAGTTCTGCTTTACCTGCAGGATGGGAGGGATCCCAGCAGTGAATGGCAAAGGAGAGCGTCTCCTGCTGCACGTAGGAATCATAGATATCCTGCAGTCATACAGGTGGGTAACCTGGCAGTGTGTGTTGGTTTTGCATTAAATAGATATTTGGTGAGGAGAGAAACCACCACATAGTATGTCTTTTCTGGCTGCTAACATCTCTTTTAGTACCAAATGAAAGCAGGGGGCATGTTCTCTCCTGGAGACTCTGAGGATGAGTAGATAGAGCTGCCCCAAGCTGGCCATGGGCTTCCATCATGTCTTTAGAGCAGCTGGGGACACTCAGCCCTTTGTCCAGGATGATGAGCTACTCATAAAGAAGTAGTTTCCCACCTCATTGTGGGAAGCATATCTCCAGGCATGGAAGGTGTACCTCTTCCAGCCCAGTTCCTCCTTCCCTGTGGTGTTCCCAGGCAGTCCTGGCTTCCTGGGGGAGATGCTGGAGAAAGCTCAGTCCTGGTGACATTGGCAGCTCAGGGATCTCCCCTATAGGGTATGAAAGGGAGCTTGGTACAGAGTGCGTGCCTGAATCTGTATCTTTATTTTTCTCTCCTCTTCTCCTTGGAATTAGGTTCATCAAGAAGTTAGAGCACACCTGGAAGGCCCTTGTCCATGATGGGGTGAGTGCCTGTGCAGAGGCAGGAGTTGTCTAAGCCTTGCAGGTTTACTTGGTGGCTATTTATGGAGCCTGACCTGACACAGCTGCAGCTGATGAAAGGAGCAGTTCTTGCCCCTCATTCCTGCACAGCAGGGTGGTGCCACTTATTCCCAGCCAGGTTTCCTTGCTCAATCCAGCTCCTCACATGTTGAGCTGTTGTGCTCACAGCTTTCCTCCCCTGCTCCTGTCTCCCATGACACCAGGAGCACACACCCAGGTGTGTGTGTTCCTGGGCTGTCAGGAGCCCTGTGCTGTTCTCTCTGGTGACTGGCTGTTTCCACCTCAGCAAGCTCTCTGCCAGCAAATCCCTTTCCATGTTTCCTTGCTGGCTTCATTCCTGCAGCAGCCAGGTGTGTGTTCCTGAAAGAACAACCTTAGATGTGGAAACCATTTTTCAGCCTTGCATTTCCTGTCTTCCCTTAAAGTGGCAAAGGAAACGTGGAGATGCCAAGTCATGGAAGCGCAGTCAAACATCAGAAGCAGAAAGAGATTCAGTTTTACTATTTTAAACAAGAACATTTGAAATATATGGAGACCCTTGGCTGAATTTAGGTGTCTGTGTGACATGCAAAAGTATCCAGGTTTGATTGGAATGGCAGCCAGCAAAGCCAGAAGAAATTTCATGTATGCAATCAGGCCAGTGTTTAAAAAATCCAGGAAGTTCTACAAAGGAATAAAATCACCAAAATCCATTATAAAATCACAGCAAGAATATAATCAAATGCAATCAGAGGCAATGCTTCAGGGTTATTTATAGCATTAATTAGAGTGTTTCAGTTAAGCCTTTCCATTTTAAGGCTCTGTCAGTGCTAAATGTTGGAATAAAAAAGACTGTGTTGGTTGTTACAGAAATTCTGCCTTGAGGGATCATTTTAAAATTAAACAATTGCTTCTTGCTGTTGTAGGACACAGTGTCAGTACACAGACCCAGCTTTTATGCAGAGAGGTTCTTCAAATTCATGACCAACACGGTGTTTCGAAAGAATTCCTGTAAGTACCAAGTTCAGGGGCTGCTGTGCTCTGAGGTTTTACCTTGGCCTTGCTGCTGCAGGCCTCACGAGGAGTCTGGGCTAGAGCCTGAGCAGGGTTTTCCAGTGTGGTACAGCTGTGAGAGCTGGGGGTGTACAGCCTGGAGAAGGCTCTTAGGAGACTTTAGAGCCCCTTCCAGTGCTTAAAGGGGGCTTAGAAAAAGGAGGGGGAAGGATTTTTTATGCAGGCAGATAGTGACAGGTAAGGGGCAATTGTTTTGAGACTGTCAGGGTTAGATGAGAAGTTTGGAAATCTGAGGATGGGGAGGTCCTGGTACAGGGTGCCCAGAGCAGCTGTGGCTGCCCCTGGATCCCTGGAAGTGTCCAAGGCCAGTGTTGCTTGCAGCAGCCTTCTCTAGTGCCCATGTCCCTGCCCATGGAGGAGGTAGAATGAGATGTGTTTTTATGGTCCCTTCCAACCCAAAACGTTCCATGATACAGAGCAAAACTAAGAACTGCAGAGCCCTCAGATTGTCACAGCTTGCCTTGGTCTGCTCAGACTCCTACCCATTCCCTGCACCTGACCTGGGTTCAGTCCAGAAGGGATGTGTGTGAGGGCAGAGCCTCTCCTTGTGAAGGGAAGAGCCCCTTTGACGTGACAGTAGCTGATGGTGGTGCTTTGACCTTCTGTGCCTCCCTCCCTCCCCCAGCTCTGAAGTCGTCCCCCTCCAAGAAAGGGCGCAGTGCCTTGCTGGCCGTGAAGACGGCGGGTCCCACGGCGGCGTTCTCGGCCAGCCAGCTGGCCTCTGACAAGGACGACACCCAGTACGACCTGCGGGCGGCCAGGAGCTACCCCACGCTCGACGATGAAGGTGACAGCCCCGCGCAGGGTACTGGCTCTGGGGTTACCCTCTCTCTCCTAGCAGTTCTTTAGGATCCTCCCTTGTTCTCATCAAGTTCCCCACTGTGCGCCAACTGCAGATCTTTCCTCATGGATAGCTCTTCATTGCATGTCTTGCTGTGCTTTGCAGGTGCTAAACCTAACCAGGACAGGGAAGAAGGTAAGAGTGCATTGTTTTGTCGCAGCACCAGCAGGTACTTGATGCAGCACCTCTGCATCAAAGGAGACCAAATCCCTTCTTTGCAGCACTGTGGGGTTCTGCAGTAAAAATGGTCACCTGCATCACTGCTGCAAGACAGCTGCTGCCAAGGGGCACCATAAGTCATAGCCCAGAGCCAACAGAAAGTTGTATTTTCTACCCTTTAAAAAAAAGATTTGGGGGAGGCTGACTGGGAACTGCAGCACTCCAATGACAGTGTTTGGGCAGTTAAAACAGGCAGGATCTTGCTGTTGGAAAACAGGAATGAGCTGATTCTGTGCTGCCTTTCCTTCACTTCCATCTGGCTGCATTTACAGCTGAGTGCTGGAGGACAAGCTCCTCCAGTGCATGGATGTTGGATTGCTCCCTGAGCAAAGCACTGAACACTCAGTTCACCTCTTAATTCACTTGGATATTTATCCCTGGTGATCCAAGCCTTTAATCCAGCTTTGGTCACCAGTGAGAAGTCTTCATTGGCATTCTATTCCCTGCCTGTTGTGCTGGAAGTGGTGCTGACTGGCTCTCCCCAGAGGATGCCTTGGGAGAGGCTGTCATGACCCATCTAAACTTCTGCCTGTCTGTGGTTTGAGTGCCCAGTCCCAGTGTGGGTGTGCAGGTTCATGGTGGAACAGCCTCACACGGGGCTGGTGTAGGTGAAGTGTTGGTGTTTGACTTAATCATCTCTTCTTCCTGCCTCTCCCCTGCCCTGCTCTGGGCCAGCAGGCAGGCCAGACCTGCTCCCTTGCACTCCTCCTTCCTTTGAAGAAGCTACCACGGCCTCCATAGCCACGACACTGTCGTCAACATCTCTCTCTGTTCCCGAGCGATCCCCCTCGGAGTCCTCTGAGCAGCCCAGGTACAGGTGAGGAGAATTCCCTGCTCCCACTGGTGCTGAGTGGCTGCTGCTGCTCTCCCTGCTGCAGATCCCGGCAGGCTGCCCTGCACTCTGGAATGCTAATGACCGGTTTTAATTAAATCTCTCCTGGGAGCAAGCAGACACAGCTTTGATGGGATTAATTATTGCTGGAAGAAGTGTCAGCTGTTAAGTAGAACATCTCCCTCATGGGATGTGGAGGTAGATTTGGGGACAGTGCAGGATTTCTGGCTTAAATTGCTCCTCCAAAACTGTTCTGTTTTCTTTCCACAGGAGGCGTACACACTCCTCAGGGCAGGATGGCAGGTGAGAAATGGGTCTCCTGTCTTCTTGTCTCATCTTCTCTCTGCTGCACAGAGATCTCATGTTTATCCCTGTGCAAAGGTCACTTAGAGGGCTGAGTGGGAATTTCAGCAGCTCCAGGATTTTGGCGTGGATGCTGAGCTGCTTCTGCAATCAGATTATCCCCATTTCTTACACAGAATTTTCTTTGCAAAGCAAATCTCTTAGTGCTTTGAAAATACCAATTATTTGATAGGAAAGGGGACAACAGTGTTGTCCAAATTTACCCACCCACCCAGCACCAGAGTCAAGAAAGGTCATTTAAGTCCCTTTAAGCAAGTAAGTGAGCCCTGACAGCAGAAACATTCCTCCTCTGAGCATCTTTCTTTAGCCTGGGCAAAGTGAAAGGGCTTTGACTTTGTGAGGCACTGAGCACACTCAGTCCTCACAGAAGTAGCTTCCAGTATTTTCAGAAATCTGTGAGGCTTTTTTCCTCCTGTGGTGTCTCAGAGCCAAGGGCAAGGTAGGACAGAAATGCTGTGCTGCAGAGGGGTGTCTGATTTTAGAGGCTCTTACCATTAAATTATTGTGAATTATTGTGGAATTATTTTGCATCAGTAAAAATTACCCCACTGCCCATGTCAGCAGGATCTGCACGAGGAGCCAGCGGATGCTGCTGGCTCTGCCCTCACTTTCCAGGACATTGTGTAGGTGTTAGTAGGCTTTGAAATGACATCAGAGACTCAGTCCTAGGATGTGCCATCATAGCCAGAGGAGCCTGACAGGCTGATATCCTATCTCCCTGCAGTCAGTGTTTGGTGCTTGGAAGGAAAGGTCTTTGGAAGATGAGGGTTTGCCCCATGTCACAGGCATCTGCTGCTGTTCCAAGCTTTGAGTGATTTGCTGAGTTCAGTTGACAAGCACTGTGAAAAAATCCCTTTCTATGGTGTTTCCTAATGAAAAATACCTCAGGATGTTGCATGTTGCTGAATCCTGGCAAATTCCTGTCCCTGGAGGGCAGGGACCTGCTCACTGTGAGAAGTGTCAGGGACTTGTGAAGCACCTCTATCCTGCAGAATCCAATGTTAGAAATTGCTGAAAATTGGAGACTTAAACCCAAGCCCCAGTGGTGGGGCCCATGTGGCAAATGCAGTGACTTCATCCAAAACCGTTCAGACTCAGCGGTTCCTCCTGGAGGGAGGGAGCTGCTGTAGTATGTCACTGCTCCTCCAGAAATGGGGCAGGTGAGTCAGAATGACCTGGGAGCATTCAGGGAGCTCAGTGGCTTGGTCAGAGTAGATCTGTCTATCACAGATTTGCCAGAGCTACACTGACTGTCTGCAGGTGTGGCCACCTTTGTTGTTTCTTGCCTAATTTGTCCCTTTCTAATGCCAGTGCCTCTGTGTGCCCTTCCTGGGAGAGTAGGGACCTGTGCACTTGTGGAGCTCTCTGCGATCCCCTGGTGAAAACCAGTGCAGACACGAATTTATTAAAGAAAGAATTTACATTCCTGAGCTGAGATGGAAAAAACCTTACCCAATTTGCTCAAGAATGTGTCACACCTCTGGTTGTTCTGGTCTGCTGGGAAATTCAGTCCAGTTTGAGGTCCAGCCCTGTGAGGAAGAGTGCAACAAGTTCTGTGCATGGAGCTGGACTGAAGTGCTGCCCACTGGTCAGAGCCAGCCTCGAGCAGGGCAGTGCTGTCATTGAACCCAGAGCTCACCCCTTCTCTGACAACAGCCCCTTGGCTGGGCAGGCTCTTGCTGCTCCTTCCCATGGGGACAGTGCAGCCAGCCCTGCTGGCACAAGTAGTTACTTTAATAGCATGAGGTATTAAAGTGAAGATTGTCAGAGGCAGTTCCAGAGTGTGCAGATAAATCTCAACCCTGGAGCATCTTTGGTGTGCCGGGAGTTTTGGAAGAGGTCAGAGGCTCTGGCCTGGTGGCAGGCTGACTCTGGACACAGGCTTTCCCTGGAGGTCAGTTCTCTTTGCTCCCATGCTCCATTTGACGCTGCCCATCTTTCGTGCTGCACTGACTGTTTAACTGCTTTGTTCTTGTCCTCTTTTCCCACCTTGTTAATTCTGAGTGCTGTAATCCTCCCTCTCTATTTCCTGGGAGTTTTGGTTATCCAAACCCTCAATCCAGGGAGGTCTGAGTGCTCCCTCTGGGCTGAAATCAGCCATTGAGTCTGCTGGGAGCCCAGTGGCACGGTAGCTGCAGCAGCAGCTGTGTGCCGGGACAGAGCTGCACAAGAGGCTTGGCTGGCTCTGGACTGATTCAGGCTGACCTAAAACTGAGGGCTATGCATAACACGTCCAGCTGAGTCTTTGGGCCTGTCTCCCCTCTGGTTTCCAGGTCACACGAGGAGGTGCGGGTCCAGGAGGAGGTTCAGCAAATCAGTGTCGAGCTGGAGCCCAAGTGTGACGTTGAGATTGTAGCTCCTGAAGAAGAAGTCAAAGAGTGAGTGTTTTAGAGTGTTGTAGATCCTGCACAGTGGGTTTTGAGCTGTGGGTGCTGGTGCTGGAGGCTTTGCTGGGCTCCAGCTTTGCTGGAGTCATGAGTGTTCAGTGAGGCTGAGCACAGTACTGACCTGCCCTGACGTGACCTTTCAGGATGTCATGGCATAGCATCTTCAGAAGCTCCTCTGTAATAAATCCATTTTGCTTGCTCCTGTCCTGAGTGCAGTGACTAGACTGTCATTTCTTTCCCCTGTGCAGAGAGGCAGCTTCTTCAGCCTGTGCCATTGTCACATCCACAGCCACCGTAGAGGTGGAGACGGCCAGCCAGGCCTCGGAGCCAGCCAGCCAGGCCTCGGATGAAGACGACGTGCCAGTCACAGACATCTACTTTGTAAGAGACCTTCTCCACCTGGCCCTTGGGGGGTGACGGGAAGGGTTGGACAAGGCTGTCAGTATCATTCCAGGCAGTCGGGTTGGGCAGTGGCTGCCCTGCACCATCTTGGTGTGAAGCACCTTGAGACCTCAGTGCTGGGTGGGTTTTTGAATGCAGGGAACTGGATTAAACTTGGAGAACTCAGAACAGCATCTAGTGGGGCTCACGCAGGTGGCACTCCTGCTGTGGATGTGGATGTAGCTGTAGCTGTGCTGCTCTACTTCCAAGCACAAGTGTTTGTCTAGGCCAGCACATTTGCTCTGGGACAAGCCAAGGTGATGTGGGTGCAACAGAGAGGTTCTTCCTTCCTCAGCCAGAGATCTTGGCTCCTTTCCTGACACAAACATGGCCTAGACCCAAAGGGAGGTGGTTGCAGAGGGTGACCTTGGGCTCTGGTGAACTCCGGCTTTTCCTTTCCCTGCAGGCTGCATTAGGTGATGCAGTGGGAGTCTAGTGCTGAGCCAGGGAGTAAGTTGGTGGTTGGCAGCAGAGTGCCGTGGAGCCTGGCGCTGGTCCTCACTCAGCTCCCACAATGGCTGAGCAACTTCTGCAGACCAGAGAAGAGGTTTTTTAGCAACATGTACCTGTCCCATGGATTCCCAGAGCACAGCTGAGTGCCTGTCCCGTGAGAGCTGAGCTCTCTCTCGTGCCTGGGCACTGGAACCCTCATTAAAAGAGGTGCCCGGCTCCTCCCTGCTCTGACTTGTTGCTGTTGGTTCTGTGGTGCTGGAGACAACCTGGGCCCATGCAATGGGCTCTTCAGGCTAAACTAAAATGCAGTATTGGCCTTTCCCTGGGCTCTTGTGACTCTGCTGCAGAGCTGCTCACTCATTGCCGAGTCACTCTGAGGCCTGTGGGAGCTGTGGAAGGAATCAGCCTTGTTTTATAGCTTGTTTGGGGTTGGATGCATGCTGTTCAAAATGCAAACGGCTCCTCTAACACTGCCCCCTCCTTGCCTGTGGATGGCAGCTGTGTGCAGGCAGATCCTGCCTGCTCCCCTGGCAAGTCTCTTCTAGTGAGGGTCAGCTGCTCTTCCTCCCTGTCCCTGGGCATATGGACTGCCCCCAGCTTGAGGGGCAGCTCTGTCCAAGAGAAAATTCTGCAGAGTGTGTTCACAGAGAGTGTGACTGACTGCTCATCAGCATTTCATACTTCATCTGAGTCTGAGTTTTGCATTAAATGTGTGTCGTGTGCTGTGGAGTGTTTATCACTGCTGGGATGAAGGGAAAAGCTGATTTGAGTTCCCATGGGCACTCTCCTTGGAAAACCACTTGAGCTGGAGCTCAGGTGAGGCTGCACGCGTGCGCTCGAGTAGCACCACAGCTGCTCCTGCAGGAGTGCTCAGGGGCGGTGGTGGGTGAAGGGATGGTGTGTGCGGAGGAGGATTTGGCCAGTCCCAGGAGACTGTGATCTGATGACTGAAGCCTGCTCCTGGAGAGCACTTCATTCTCCTGTTTATCCCCAGGGAATAAAAGTGCAGAGTGTGGCAGGGCACGGGCGCCGCTCTTCCCTGCACGGCTTTCCCACCTGCTCACCCGTTCAGGCCTGGAGTTGTCCAACCCCTTGTTTTTTGCTTTCTCTTTCATCCTCTCTTTCACATCACCCTTTTTTTCCTCTGTTTCCTTTCTCACCTCACTTGTTCTGGGGCCACTCAGTTCACAGATGGGAGGTACTGGATTTACTCTCCCCGCCAGCGCAGACTCCGAACTACCTCGCATTCCTCTGGGATTGTAAGTGACCATGCCAGCACAGCATGTAGGGGAGCAGAGCTGCAGCTTTGAAACACTGGGGCCAGCATCCCACTTCTCTCAACGGCTGAGGCTCTGGATTGAGTTAGGAACCAGCCCAGCAGAAATGGGGGAAGCATATTGAAATTACACCAGTGGATCTCCTTGCAGGATCTGAGAGAATTAAGAGCTCTGTCCCTTTTCTCCAGGCTGGTGACACAGCTCCTACCCTGGCGTGGGCCATAGTGTCACCCAGCCCTTGGAAAAACTGAGAGCAGTGAGGCCCTAGCACAGGTTACCCAGAGAACATGTGGTTGTCCTCTTTCTGGAAGTGTCCGAGGTCAGACTGGATGGGCTTAAAACAGCCTGGGATAGTGGAACATGTCCCTGCCTGTGGCAAGGGGGAATACTGGGTGATCTTCCAACCCAAACTGTTCTGTGATTCTTAGTACCAGATCTGGCCAGAGTGGCACTGGGGCCTCTGTAGGTGGTGTCAGGCTCAGCTCCCTGAGCCCAGGAAGAGGGTTTTAAAGACACCATTAAGATGTTTTGAAAGTTCTAAAACTCCAGTAACAAACAGAACTGTTTTAGCTTGTGGGGGGAAACTCATAAACCAAATGAGGCAGGAGCTGGTGCTGAGTTAGGGCTGATTTCAGCTCTCCAGCCCTTCTCAGCTTCACCAGTCTGCTCCCTTCTCACTGAAGGTGTTCTGTGCAGCAGGGAGGATTTTCCTTCCCAAAAGATGCAGGGAAGGCATTTGAGATTTTAGGGGCTGAATCTAGAGCCGAGATTGTTCTGGAGTTTAGCATTTAGCTTCTCATGCTTTGGGAGAGCTGCTGTCCCCAGGGGGGTGGTGGCAGTGCTGCCGGAGCCTCGCTGGTGCAGCCTGGTGCTCCCATTTGGGTTACAGGCAGGGTGCATGGGGAAGCAGGGGCAGGAATGTGCCCCTGGCTGTTGCTGATGGCATGAAGAAGGTGCTGCTAGGCAAACAGACAACTCCTCCTGCAGCCCCTCCTGCCCCTCAGCTGGGTTTGGCTGCTCTGGCACCGGGAGGGGTAATGCCAAGCACTGGGTGCTCCTTTATCTCCTGCAGCTCCCCGCATGCATCCAAGCTCCTAAAAGGCTCTGAAAGAGACTGGCTGGAGCATGTGGTTCAGTCAGGATGGATGAACCATCATGGATGAAAAAGAGGATGTGGGACAAGCTTGATGTGGTGGGGAGGTTTCCTGTACCTCTGACAGAGCCCTGTGAGAAGCTCCAGTCAGGGGCTTCTCAGCCTTCCTTCCTCCCAGCAGTCTCTACTAATGGAGCTGCAGTTAATGGGGGGGTTCAGCATGTGGAGCCCAGTGCTTCAAAGCTTCTCTGGCTTCTTGTAGTTCCTTGTACATTGTAGACTATCACGCTCAGTTCCTGGGCTGGGAACACTGCAGGCTTCTTCCAAACACCCAGTTCTGCTTCTCTTCCTTTGCGAATGCCAGGCTGGGTCAAAGGGGGCAGTTTCTTCTCTGTGGGAGCTCCTCTGGAGACAAAAGAGCCTGTTTGCAATATAAATGGGGCCCCCCTGGGAACACTGGCAGCAGAGACCAGCCCTTGAATCTGTGCTGTGTAGGCAGCAGCGTGTGTCTTCTCACAGCAATGCCCAGTGCTATAACTGTCCCTCAAGTCACACCTCCTTCCCCTCATTCTTTCCAGGGTCCAGTTGTGTTTTGCCTCCTGTGTTGTACTTGTTCCCATCACCCCACTGTCCCCAGGATCTCAGCAATAACTCTTTCCTTTCTGTGGCCACCATCCTCCATGGTCTCACCCCAGCTTCACTGCCTTCTGCAAAGAAGGAGGAAGGCACAACAGACAAATCCAGTTGCCCTGTAAAAGCCCTCCTGGATATCAGTTTGTAGCATGCACAGAGCTCTGGAAATGGGAGGGTGAGAGCTGGTAGCAGGAGCCCAGAGCTGTCACTGCTCTTAGGTAAGTCATGTCCCAAATCTCTCGGTTTCTCTGGAGCTGGGATGATGCCGTAGCTGGGAGCTGAGGTTTCCCTGACATCTCAAAAGTTCTAAAACTCTGTCCCTCCAAGAGGAGAGGGTGTGCCACCCCCACTGCAGCTGGCACAGGTCCTGTGTCCCGGTTGGCAGGAAGCCACTGTGTGCTGAGGATGAGGAGGGCTCCTCTGCTGAGAGCTGGCTCTGGGCTCAGTGCTCTCCCTCCAGGTGGACAGCTGTTCTTACTGTATTGTTTCCTGCTCTTTTTATTTTCTCCTTTTATTTTTTCCTCTTCTCTCCTTTGCTCCCTGCTCTGCTGCTGCTCTCCCTGCATTCTCCCTGCCGTCTCTGGCCACTCTGGCAGCCGACAGACGAGAGGAGTTGGGTTTACTCCCCGCTCCACTATAGCACTCAGCTCCACTCTGTCTCCGATGAGGAGAGCGATACAGTAAGTGTCCAACAGCCGTGTGCCGGGTGCCCGCTGGGTCGAGGTCGGAGTTTGTGCTCCCTCTGCAAGGTCAGCTTGGCCTCTGGCAGCGTGGGGCTCCTGCTCAGCAAGGGCTGTGGCTTATTCCCAGTTGTTTGGTGCAGGAAAAACTTTGGGGAGCTCAGGTTTCCCAGACATGTTGCCATTTCTGGAAGATGTAGGACAGCCTCTGGTTGTGCTGGGAAGTTGGCGGAACAGAGACCTGATTGATGTGGGCACTGGTGCTCAGGGGTTCATATTCTTTCCTCTCACAACCAGAAAGATGTTGAGGGGCTGGGGCATGTCCAGAGAAGTGAGTGGAGATGGGGAAGGGGCTGAAACATAAGTGTGATGAGGAGCAGCTGGGGGGGCTTAGCCTGGAGAAAAGGAGGCTCAGGGGGGACCTTGTTCTCCACAACTCCCTGAGAGAAGGGGCAGCCAGGTGGGGGTCAGCTTCTGTTCCCAGGGAACAGGAGAAGAGGAAACACCCTCAAACTGTGCTATGGGAGGTTTAGGTTGGAGATTTGGTAAAATGTCTTGACTGAAAGGGGGTTGTCAGGTATTTGAACAGGCTGCCCAGGCAGTGGTGGCATCACTGTCCCTGGAAGTGTTCAAATGACATGTGGCTGTGGCACCTGGGGACATGGCTTAGTGGTGAACATGGTGGTGGTGCTGGGCTGATGGCTGAATTTGGTACTCTTGGAGATCTTTTCCCACCTTAACGATTTCATGATTCTGTGACTCTCTTCTCTCTGCCTCTTACAGTAATCTCTATGCAGACACAGAAGTCCCAGAGAGCAGCGATTCCCTCTGCAGGTCGATGTGTTCCCTTTTCGTTGATGCAGCCATTCCAGTGGATGGGGAAGAGCTTGCTGACACCAGTATTGCTGCACTGCAGGATCCCGGGCACTGCGTTTCAGAATGGAGCAAAACTATAACCATGTATTTCTACTCACCCCAGACGTGGGCAGCAAAGAAACCACCCGCTCACCCGCAGCTCCCAGCAGAGAATTCTAGCTGGGTGTAGAGAATCCTGGGTAGTAACACAGTGTTTTCCAGATGTGCACTACCATAGCTACCTATCCATGTGTGATACTGTGAACCTTTTTAATTTTTTAATCATGTATTTATTTCTTTTATCTTTGCACAGAGACAGCACACATGTGCTTTTTTAAACATTTAGTTTACTGCACTTTTTTTTTTCTTTTTTCTTTTTTTTTTTTTTTTTGGTCATATATTTGTGCATCAAAAAGAAGCATGAGATTTCACTGAAGAATGGGTAGGAGCACGTTGCTGGGGAGGGCAGGGAGTGGAGTGGCTTCATGTGAGGCAGCAGTTTGGTCTCACCAGCTGAGGGAGTCAGGAGGTTTAAGGCTGTCCAGACACTGCCACGGTTTTTCCAAGTGGCCCAAGGCAAATCACTAAACCACTCTGTGCCTCGGTTTCCCCCGTGCTAATGGGTGCACAGTACCTGCTTCCGTTACAGCACTTAAACCCTGGGATGAAAGGTGCTATGAAAATGAAATGTATTAAAGGCCATGGAATAGAATTGCTCCCATGTTACCATAGTCCAAAGCAGCCATGCCAATTCACTTGGATCCAAACTCTCTAGTGACTTCTCCTGTCTGTGACACCGTGCGGGACAGCACAGTTCCTGGTGACAGCGACGTGGACTCCTCAGCTCTCCCCGAAGTCGTGATGGGTTCCACCTCACCCTGTGCTGCACTGCTGCGCCACCCCTCCCTCTGTGCTTGGAGTCCACACCTCATCCAAGTGGCCACCGCCTGCTGCAGCCCCGCAGGCACGGACAGATGGGAACTGGGCACCTCCCAAGCCTGGCCACGCTGGAGGGCAATTTCCCCACTCTGCCCAGCCCATGTGGGGCTTGTCCAGACCCTGCATCCTCCTGGAGCCGCTCAGCCCCTCACGTGCCCTGGTGTACCCTGGGGTCACGGACACTGGGTTCACACGTCCCCTGTGCCCCTCAGGGCAGGCAGAGACACAAGGGCACATCCAGTCACTGGAGGCAGAAATGGGAGCCTGGCTCTGCCACGGAATTGTGCCAGCACTGCTGTGCTCACGGACTCTTGGACAGAAAGCTGGGTGACTGGGGTGGTGCCCGGGGTCACGTCTGCTGGTGGAAATCCCTGCTGTGGCTATCTGAGAGGGTTTGCTTTGCAAGGGCTGTGGGCTATAGGTGAGAGAATTTGATGTCAGGGGTAGTGTTCAGCCTCATCCATCAGCAGAACACATATCATAGCATAGTCTGGAATCCAGCAATCCTGTCCTTATCTCCCAGACAGAAAACAGAAAGTCCTTTAGACCAGAGGGAGACAGGTCTTGTTTGTGTGCTTTATGAACCTCGCTTGAGAAAGAGTCTCTTTATTCCCTTTACAATCTTCACTGTCCTTGGGATTCCAGGTAGAGGGGTGGGGAAGCAGGACCCTGCTCTCAGGCCTCAGTCCCCACAATCTCTTCACAGCAGCACTCAGGAGTGGTTATGTTGGGTCCCAGAAGGTAGCTGGGCTGATGGGAAGCTCTTCCTTCTGTACTGTACTGAACTTAGTGAGAATCTTCAGGAATTGATGTTTTTTTCTTGCCCAGAATACAGGACCTGGACTTCCCTTCCCTGCCTGTAGATGCAGAAGGCTGTGAGTTGTGCTTCTTGGGAGCACAGTCTGGGGATTGTGCAAGTTGCTGCTGTTCATGTATCCATGTATTTACCAAATAGTCTATCAAAAGTCTCTCAAGAAACTCTCCCCTTTCTGTCGCTGCTTGGCAGCTCATTCTCCCAGCTGCAGCTCCTGTCCCATCCCACCTCCCTGTGGGGGCTCTGCAGGCTGGGGGGGCTCAGGGGTTGGTGGAGGGGATTGGGAGCCATGCAGTACCTACAGCCTCACCTGCCTTTGGGCTCAAGGCAAGGAGCTTCAAAAACCTAAAAATTCAACCTCTTTTTCCCCAGCAGTGTCTGTAGAACGGCCAGAGAAAGCCACATCCCTGCTGCAGCTGCTGCTGTTGGGTGCTGTGCTGGAGGAGGGGGCTCTGGGGGGGGAACCAGGGTGGCTGGAGCTGTTCTGAGCCAGGCCCCTGCCCTGGAACCACCTCAGTCAGGGGCTGGAGCATTTGGCCTCGTCAGGACTTTCCAGCCACCTGATATCAAGCATCCTGATTGAGATGGTTCAAGCATCAGTGGAGATTTTATTCCTTCCCCTCATTTCTAGGGGGTCTCTAAAGCTGCTTGGTGTGTGTGCAGGGAGTGTCCCAGAGAATGAGCTTTGTGAGCTGGAGCTGTGCTTGGGTCCTGAGGGTGTAAACCCAGAGCTCCTGCAGCATGTTCATTCAATTCAAAGAATTGTCTTCCCTTCTTGAGGTGATCCTTGTGCAATTCTGTAATGCTGGACCCTTTGGAGCAGGTCTCGATGGGCTGGGGTGGTCCTGTAAGAGGACAGGCAAAGGCTTAGAACAGCTTTGTCAAGGGACAAGGAGGAACCTTCCCGTAGGCAGATGTTGATCTGAAATAGAAACTGCCCCTGTTCAGGCTGGCACAATCCCTGCTGTGTCACCTCCTGTCCCAGCAGCTCCCAGTGCTGGGGAACTGCTTCCCATGGAGGCTGAAAGGACCTTGCATTTTAGAGCTCATTCTTGGCCCCCTGTGCATGGCACGGCAAGGGAGCAGCAGAAGCTCTGGAGCATGTCACAGGCACTGCCAGTGCTGCCTGGGCAGGAACAGCACTTGCACATGGGAAAGAGCATCCCTGGCCTGAGTGTTCCTCCACCTGCACTTCAGCTCATTCTGGACTTGAGGTGCTGTTCTCTGCTGGGCTCCCCTTAGTGACCCCGCAGGTGCTGTCCAGGCTCTCCATCATTAAAGGAGGCACCACGAGTCTTGTACTCTGAGATTTGACCCCGCAGGACAGCTCCTTCCCACACAGGTCTGTGCACTGCTGTCCTTCATCCCCATGGTCCCAGCTGGGAGCTCAGACTCTGTGGAACTTGCCGTGACCATTGCCTGGTGCTGGGGCTGCAGGTGAGCTCTCCCTGCCGGGTAAGGGGCTGGCAGGAGAAAATGGGCATCTCTGTCCTTGAGTTTGCAGTCAGGCTCCTGTAGAGGCTCTGGGGCAAACCCGGGGGCTCGTAGGGACCCTCAACACGCGCAGAGCGGATGCAGCTTTTGGTTGCCGCTGCCTCTCCGGCCACGTGTGCTGGAATTGCACCCTGGGGAGTGTTTCAGTGAAGCCAGAGCACGCACACGCCTTGGTCCAAGGCAGGCAGAGGCGTTTGCAGGGCTCCATCGCCCCCCGCATTCCCCTTCTCACTGCCAGCCGCTGCTCCAGCGCTCCCCGAGTGGACAAGGAGAACGCCGGGGTTGAGGCGGCGTCTGGGGTCATGGCTGAGGGGTTTTGTGTCCATGTCTACCCGCGCCAGGTCTGTCCTGGTGCCTGTCCCTGTCCCCACCCCCGCCTGTCCTGGTGCCTGTCCCTGTCCCCACGTGTCCTGGTGGATGTCCCCGCGGATGTCGCTGTTCCCGCCCGTGCCGTGTGCCGAATGCCCGGCGGAGGGGGCGCGGCCGGACGGGGTCTCCGATGTTGGGCTGTGATCCCGTCTCGGCTCCGGGGGCTCGAGGCCTGGGCGCGGTTTTCCTTTTCTCGGTTGTTTTGAGAGTTTTTCCCCTCCTTCTCCGGGGAGCCCCTTTTCCAGAGCTCTGTACCCGCTCCCATAAAGCGTTCTGCAGTCTGTGCTCAGCTCCGCGCCTCCGCCTCGCTCTGTGCGCGCCGCGGGCCCGGCCGGGCAAGGGGAGGGGCGGGGATGGGGCAGGCTCCGCCCAGCCGCGGGGCTGCCCGCCGCCCGCCTGTCTGCGCTGGGGCCGCTGCTGGGGCGGGGCGGGCGCAGGCGGGTGGCGGGGCAGCCTGGTAAACTGAGGCCCCTCGAGGCCCCGGGGTGGAGCTGTCGCTGCCGATGGGCTCCGGGTCGCGCAGCCCGGCCCGGGGCGGCCGCTCGGCGGGGGACCGGGACCGGGAAAGGGAAAGGGAAAAGGAACGGGAAAGAGACCGGGACCGGGAAAAGGAACGGAACCGGGATCGGGACCGCGGGCGCTCGCGGTCCGGGAGCCACGGGCGGCGACGCCGCAGCCGGAGCCGGAGCCGGGACCGACGCCGGGAGCCGAGCTCTGGGTGAGTGCGCACGGGGCCCGGAGGGCCGCGCCGTGGCTGTGGGGAAGCGGGCCCGGGGCTGCGGGGCTGGCGTGCCGGGGCCCGCGCGGCCCGACCCGGCCGCTGTCCGCACCGCCGGGCCCGGCGGGGGGCGGGAGGGGGAGCTCGGTCCCGCCGGTCTCGGGGAGGGCCGGGGACTGGGGGCGGGCGGTCGGGGCGGTGGGGGCTGCAGGTACCCCTCGCTGTCTCGGTGCTGCCGGTGGCGCCGGTGCTGGGCCGGCCTCACGTGCGGCGGGGAGAGCCCCGTGCCCGGCACGGCCGTGCCCTCCTCCCGCTGAAGCACGGCTGTGTTCCCCCAGCTCGGACTCCGGCGATGAGAGGCACAAATGGAAAAAGAAGAAAAGAAGCCGCAGCCGGGAGCGGCACCATAAGGACCGGAGGAAACAGCGCTCACGGTCCCGGGGCTGCTCGTCTGGCTCCAGCCCGGAGCGCGGGCGGGACAGGGCAGCGCGGAGCCGGGAGCGGCGCCGCAGGAGAGATGGATCCAAGTCCTCCGTGTCCTCCGTCAGCTCCCCCTCCCCGCCGCGGCCCCGGGGCCGGGAGGAGCCGGGGCAGCAGCTGAGCCTGCAGGAGCGGCTGAGGCTGAGGGAGGAGAAAAAGAAACAGGCGGCTCTGATGAAGGCCCTGGAGACGCCCGAGGAGAAGCGGGCACGGAGGTTGGCCAAGAAGGAGGCCAAGGAGAGGAAGAAGCGGGAGAAGATGGGCTGGGGTGAGGAGTACATGGGCTACACCAACACCGACAATCCCTTTGGGGACAACAACCTCCTGGGCACATTCATCTGGAGCAAGGTGAGCTCTGCCCTGGCCCTGCAGCCAAATGGAACAGGCAGGGGGTAGTCAGGGGCATCTGTGCCTCAGGTGGGGTCTGTATCCAGGGCAGGGAGATAAGATGATGGGTCGAGGGCAGGAGAGGGTCTTGAAGCTGCTGGGAGCTGTAGGCTGAGTGCTGGGCAGCATTTACTGAGTCAGGGACATGGAGATGGTAACAGGAATGCTGCATTTCTGCCACAGGAATTACAGAGAGCTGGGGGTGTTCAGGGTTGGGGAGAAGAGAAGGCTCTCTGGAGAAGAGGAGGCTCTGGGGAGACCTTAGACCTCTTCCCAGTGGCTACAAGGGCTCCAGGAGAGCTGGAGAGGACTTTGACAAGGACCTGGAGGGACAAGATATGGCTTCCCACTGCCAGAGGGCAGGGTTGGATGGGATATTGGGCAGGAGTTGTTCCCTGGCAGGGTGGGCAGGCCCTGGCACAGGGTGCTCAGAGCAGCTGTGGCTGCCCCTGGATCCCTGGCAGTGCCCAAGGCCAGGCTGGACAGGGCTGGGAGCAACCTGGGACAGTGGAAGTGTCCCTGCCATGGCAGGGAGGGGAATGAGATGATCTTTAAGGTCCCTTCCCTCATGATTCCATGACACTGTTGTGCTGGCACTCACCTCACCAGGCCGGGTGGGCTACGTGGGCTGAGCCTGGGTTTGCTGAGGGGCTTCGGGAGCAGCGTTTGAGTGATTTAGGGACTTTCAACAGGATCAGACCTCACTGGAGCAGCAGAAACGGGTGAAGGGAGTAGCATTTGCTAGCCAACGAGGGGCTGTGGAGGTCCTTGGGTTCCACAGCTTCCCTTGGCCATTCTGTTTAAGGCACTGGAAAAGAAAGGGATCAGCCATCTGGACGAGAAGGACCTGAAGGAGAGGAACAAGCGAATCCAGGAGGACAATCGCCTGGAGCTGCAGAAGGTGGGATAAGATGTCCTTTCCATGTCATTGTCTGACAGCCCTGTTTACAGCCTGGTTCTCACTGGGAAGTCCCATTTTCTTCTCCTGGCTGTGTCCAGTCTGTAGAATTGTGGAGGCCATAAACCCTGGCTTCTGTTATTCCAGGATGAGACACCTTCCCTTAGGTTTGAGCCCAGGAGCTCAGGAGGTGCTGAGGAGGACAATGCCAGGTCGCGTCACTGAGGCACTCCGTTGTGCCTTTGTCCCCTGCCGCCCGCGGGGCTGGCAGTGACCCAGGCAACCTGGCCCCACTGGCTCCCCACTCTCCAGGAGCTTGGGCTGAAGGCAGGAGCCAGGGCAACTCAGGGACAGGTCATGTCGTGGCTGTGTCCTCAAGCAGGGTCTGGGTGTCTGCACAGGGGCCCATCCGCAGTGGTCTCACAGCTTTGTCACCCTGGGCAGGTGAAGCAGCTGCGCCTGGAGCGGGAGCGGGAAAAAGCCATGCGGGAGCAGGAGCTGGAGATGCTGCAGCGGGAGAAGGAGGCAGAGCACTTCAAAACCTGGGAAGAGCAGGAGGACAACTTCCACTTGCAGCAGGCTAAGCTGCGGTAGGTGTTCACCCTGCTCAGAGCCAGGCCTGGCATGGGGCAGAGGATGGCACTGCTCAGGGTCCCCCACTGTCCCTCTGTTCCTGTCCCTTCGCCAGGTCCAAGATCCGGATTCGGGATGGGAGGGCAAAGCCCATCGATCTTCTGGCCAAGTACATCAGTGCAGAGGATGATGACCTGGCTGTGGAGATGCACGAGCCCTACACCTTCCTCAACGGCTTGACCGTCTCCGACATGGAGGACCTGGTGGAGGACATCCAGGTGCCTGCTCTGCTGGCTCTCTGCCTGGGCTCAGGGCTGCTCTACCAGCTCTGCTTTCCTGCCACTGGTGCGGAGCAGGTGCCTGATATGTCTTCTGCCTGCAGGTGTACATGGAGCTGGAGCAAGGAAAGAACGTGGACTTCTGGAGGGACATGACCATCATCACGGAGGATGAGATAGCCAAGCTCCGCAAGCTGGAGGCCTCTGGGAAAGGAGGACCAGGTGAGCAGGAGAGCAGAGCCTGGTGTGGGTGTCGGGGTCTGTGAGTGGTGGGTCACCATGTGTGCTCAGGCTCAGGGGGGCTCTCTCGGACCTGCTGGATGCAGGCTGTGGGTCTGGCAGCTGTCCCTGGCTGAGGCCTGGCCTCCTGCTGTCAGCAGAACCGGGATGAGTGCAGCTGGGTGCCTGGAGACTGACCAACTGCCCTCGCCTGTCCAGGGGAGCGTCGGGATGGTGTCAACGCCTCGGTCAGCTCAGATGTGCAGTCTGTGTTCAAGGGGAAGACGTACAACCAGCTGCAAGCTCTGTACCAGGGCATCGAGAGCAAGATCCGGGCGGGAGGGCCCAACCTGGACATTGGGTACTGGGAGAGCCTCCTGCAGCAGCTGAAGGCTTACATGGCTCGGGCCAGGTGAGAGCAGAGAGTGGCAGCAGTGCAGACCCTGCCGTGGGCAGAGCTGGGGAGGCCTAAACCAAACTGGAGGAGGGAATGGGAGAGGATGTTCTGCCTTTTCTGAGATGGCTGATTTCCAAGAGGGGAGCAGGGTGAGACACACAGTCCCTTCTGCAGTGGTGATGTTTAGTGAGGTCTCTAAGAGGAAACTGAGCTGGGGCTTATTCAGCCCAAAGCCATCCAAGCCCGGCAGGTTTCTGCCCATGGAGGTGGGAGTCAAAGCTTTTGGGCAGTGGGAGTGAGGTGGTTCTGCTGGGTGGGACCCGACGGCTCCTCTCCTCTCTCAGGTTGCGGGAGCGGCACCAGGACGTGCTGCGTCAGAAGCTGTACAAGCTGAAGCAGGAGCAGGGTGTGGAGAGTGAACCGCTCTTCCCAATCATCAAGCGGGAGCCGGCTTCCCCCAGTGACAGGTGAGCAAACCTGGCCCTGTCCCCGGGCACAAAGGCAGTCTTGTGGCCTCACCCTTCCTGAGGCAGAGCTCAGGTGAGCAGCCAACGAGGGTACCATCCCCGTCCCAGTCCTCTCTTCTCCCTTCCATGCAGGCTGGATCCCGAGGAGAGCCTTGAGGCACAGCCAGGGCCATCCTCAGAGCCAGAGGCAGAGCAGGACACAGAGGCCAAGGGAGAGGCAGAGGGAGAGGCTGTGCTGATGGAGGAGGATCTGATCCAGCAGAGCCTGGATGACTACGATGCGGGCAAGTACAGCCCCCGGCTGCTGGGCCCCAATGAGCTGCCGTTCGACGCCCACGTGCTGGAGGCCGAGGAGGACACGCACCGGCTGCTGCTCCTGCGCCAGCAGCTCCAGGTGACAGGTGAGCCCCAGGGCAGCCTGCCCAGCATGGGGGGCATGCTGTGATTCAGGGTGCAGGACTGGAGGGGGACAGTGCCCTCAGGAAAGGGCAAGAGCTGGATCTGGGTCAGGCACACAGAGCTGACCTGACAGAGGGCTGCCCCTGGAGCAAAGGCCACTGTGGCCTGGGCAGGAGCAGGGAGATGGTGCTCAGGCTGCTGGTGCTCCTTGGGAGACCTGCCTCAGTACCACCAAGGTGTTTGGGTGCACACAGGCAGGAGGGGGGTTTTGGTTGAGTTTTCCTGCACAGCTCAGCCCAGTGCCCACTCAGAGCCCACAGGGCAGCCCGTGCATTCCCATATCCAGTTCTGCATCCTCTACACAGCAGCTCCTTCTCTCTGCATGCCTTGGGGCAGTGTTGCACGGCCCAGGCCTGGCTGGCACCGCAGAACCTGATGTCACCTCTCCTCCCCTATAGGTGACGCTTCCGAGAGCACCGACGACATCTTCTTCCGTAAGGCCAAGGAGGGCATGGGCGCGGATGAGGCGCAGTTCAGCGTGGAGATGCCGCTCACGGGCAAGGCCTATCTGTGGGCTGACAAGTACCGGCCCCGCAAGCCCCGCTTCTTCAACCGCGTGCACACGGGCTTCGAGTGGAACAAGTACAACCAGACCCACTACGACTTCGACAACCCGCCCCCCAAGATCGTGCAGGGCTATAAGTTCAACATCTTCTACCCCGACCTCATTGACAAGCGCTCGACGCCCGAGTACTTCCTGGAGGCCTGCCAGGACAACAAGGACTTTGCCATCCTGCGCTTCCATGCCGGGCCACCCTATGAGGACATTGCCTTCAAGATCGTCAACAGGGAGTGGGAGTATTCCCACCGCCACGGCTTCCGCTGCCAGTTTGCCAATGGCATCTTCCAGCTCTGGTTCCACTTCAAGCGTTACCGGTACCGCCGGTGAGGGCTCGGCACCCTCGGACACCTGGCAGGGGTGGGCAGGGGCTCTCATCCCACGGCTATGCATGGCCCCAAGACCTGGCCCAGCACTGGGCATGTTCCTGAGGCTTTTCTCTGTCTTGGCATTTATCATGAGGGACCCTGAGACTTTGGTATAAATAAAATAAGGGTTATTTTAGCTACGAGATCCTGGGCATGGGCACCCCCACTGCTCCTGCATGACATCACCATCCATCACCATCCACTCTGGCCAGCACTGGGAACTCCCCTGGGGACTGCATAGTGCTTGGGCTGGGTGTCCTTACCCCATCACCACAGAGTCAGCCCCGTGTGTTCCCTGCCCCACTCCAGCCTCCTTCCAGTCCCAACATCTCCCCTTACCAGTGTCACACCAGTCCAGCTGCTGCGCCCCAGCTGGAGTGACAGGGCCCTTGACTGCACCAGCTCAGCACTGCCTTGTGTCCTGCTTCATAGAGGGGCCCCTCACCCTCCCCCGGGCCCCATTCCTGGCACGTCCTCCCATGGGATCTGGCTTCCCCAGCCTGGGAGCACTGCCATATCCCTCAGTCCTGGCTGGAGCATGGGAGGCTTTAGTGCTGCACGGCGCCTGCTCTGGTGGAGCAGAGGAGAGGGATGCTGGTTGAGATATTTCCTTACAGGGGAAAATCCGGATTCCAGAGCCTGCAGTCCCTCCCACACCATGCCTGTGAGGCTTTCCTGCCCTGGGCAAGAAGCAGTTGCTCTCCCCAGTATCCTGTTGATGAAGTGAGGGCTCCTGAGGGCCTCTAGTGCTGTTCACATGGGTTCTGGTCACCTTAGGGGCACTTCAGTGTTGAGTTGGGACTGGCTGGTGTTGGTCCCACCAAATGATGATCAAAGGCACAGCCACCCTCTTCTGGGATCACCCCACATGGCTCCATCCCCACAAGCAAGCCCCCAAGCCCCAGGGTATGCCCATTCAGGCAGGCAGGATGAGGTGCTGGTGAGTAGTGCCCAGAGGTGCAGGAAACCTCTGCCCTGGCTTCACCAAGAGGCCATTTCCTACCTGCATCCACTCTCTCCCCAGTAGAGGCCCATGGTGCAGGGACTTAGGGGCCTGCCCAGGTCCCCCAGCACTAAGACAGAGGCAAGCCTGCTGTGCAGGGGCCTCCAAGCCCTTGGGGGCTGCCCCACGGCTCAGGGAAGTTGTCTTGTCCTGCTCCTGGCTCTGCTGTCAGGATCCAACTGCAGAGCCACCATGGGAGCTGGTGCTCAGGGGGTTCCCATTCCTGCCATGGTCACCCACACCATGGGTGGGCTTGGTCTGCCTGCAGGTGAGGGTGGGGGACCCCAACTGCCGTGGTCCTGCATGTGGATACCTCCTCCCCATCCCGCCGGACATCCCCAGGGCCAGCAGCTGCACCGGACACATTCCCTGCCCTCTCCTTCCTGGCAGTTATTTCCTGCTGCTGCCTGTGCTGGGGGTTTCGGGGCTCAGCACAGGAAGTGAGTGAAGGCCGGGTCAGGGAGGCGGAAACAGGGAAAAAAAACCCAAATCCCAAAGCTGGTGGTTGGTGCCCTCCCAGGCAGAGCTGCCAGGCAGAGCCTCCATCCCCACAGCCTGTCCTTTTCCCTCCTGGGCACACACAGAGGTAGGGGAACTCCCCCAAAAACGTCCCACTGTATCTCCAGCCGGAGCAGGGTCCATGTCCTCTTCCAGGCACCGCGTTTCCCTGCACGTCTGACTGCAGGCCCTGGATGGGGTCACTGAGCAGGCACAGGAGCCTGAGCCCTGAGAGCTCCTCCAGGCTTGTGCCAGGGCCAGATCAGGGTCTGGATTCGGCTGAAGCCCCTGACGGCTTTTCCCTGACCTGGCTGCTCTCAGCGTTCCTCCTAGTCCACATCTCTCCCACGTTTCGGGACAAGATGCCACGGCGCAGCCCTGAGCTGTGCAGGGGACGCAGCGGCTCGGCCGGGTCGTGCCCGGGCGGGGCAGTCGGTGGAGCTGCCCCGTGTCCCATCATCCGTGATGGGCTCAGCTGCTCCCGGGCACACCCCGGCCCCACCCGGGACAGCAGCGGCTGCCGAGCCCCGAGCATTCCGCTGCCGGTGGGGCCCCTCCTGCTCCCGGCGCTCGGGGCCAGCCGCGATCCAGCTCCAGGCCTGGCCCTGCCTTCCGCAGGGGCTTTCGCTGCCACAATCTTTGCTCCAACCCAAGGGACAGCGCGATGATGGGCTCTGCAGCCCCTCACTGCCAAGCCGGTGCCAGGAAAACCTGCCTGGGCATCCACCTGAGCGCCGAGCCGCTGTGCCCCTTGCTCGCCTTGACGGGATGGCCCCGCGGGCCCGGGTACTCGGGCGCTCCCAGCTCTGAGGCCAGGGCCGAGGTCTGCCCCCCTCGGCGGAGCACGAGCAGCCGCGACGGAGGCTATGGCTGCTGAGACCACGGGAAGGAACCCTGCCTGGGGACTTGTCACCCCAGCTGATCTCGCCTTTGGACAGCGCAGCGACATCCCGAGCTCGGAGCTGCCGGGCTGGGAAAACCCCCGTGAGGCGAATCCCCCAGGGCGGGGACGGCCGGGGCTGCGGGAGCACCCGGGAACCCCAGCCCTCGGCCACCCCAGCGCCCGGAGCCGCAGCTGCCGCTCCCTCTCCGCTCTCGGTCCCGGGGTCGCTGCGGGGCTCGGCGGGGACGCTCCCTCTGCTGGACCCGCCTCAAGCCTGCCCGGGCAGGGACTCGCTCGAGTAAACGAGTGAGTAACGGGGCGGGAGCGCAGCCCCGAACGGACCCAGGCGCGGGTGCCTCCGCCAGGGGGGCTTTGGGCGCCGGCACCGGGGGGGCTGCACCGGAGAGACGCTGTCGGGTCCCCGGGGAGCTGCCCGGACCGGGGGCGATGGGGCCGGGGGCCACCCCCGCCTGAAGGCCCGTCCCGAGCAGGGAGGGAGCGGAGAGGGACGGGGCCGGTTCCGGGGGGCGCGGCGAGCCCGGCCCTTCCCCCGCCCCGCGGCGGAGCTGAGCCGAGCCGGGCTGAGCAAAGCCGGGCTGAGCAAAGCCGGACTGAGCCGAGCCGGGCTGAGCCGAGCCGGGCTCAGTAGAGCCGAGCCGGGTGGCGAGGTAGGGCTCGGGTCTGCGCGGGGAGGGGGGCGAGAGATACGGGGCCAAGGGACAAAGAGCCCGGAAGGCTGGGATGGACGGGGACGGGGATGGGCGGACAGACCGCCGGGTTGGCTGTGGGGGCTCGAGGGGGTTTTTTAGGGCGGTCGGGTCTCCAGCGGCTCCCAAGGCTCTCGGGGCGCTCGCGGCCGGCTCAGCCGCCGGGTTCGCACACAGCCCCGAGGACCGGGGGCGTTTCGAGGGAGGGGAAGCGGAGACCCCACGGAGAGGGACGGACACATGATGTCCCCGCTTCCCCCATTCTCTGTCTGTCCCCGGGACCGAGGGTCCATGACAGGCATATCTTCGGCGTCCCGTCGGAACCAGGATTTGCTTTTGGGGCTCCCCCGCCGGGACCGGGCCCATGTGCCTCTGGCTCCTCTGGGAAGAGCCGGAGAAGGACGAGGAAAGGCTCAGGAAAGGGCCGGGAAAGGAAGGCTCTATTTCGGGCTGTCGGAGTGGGCGGCCCAGCAGCCTTGAAGCCCTCGAGATGCCGCGACGCTACGGGCGGGCGGAGGCAGCCGCGGGGCGGGGGGCCCTGATGCCCCAGGGCTGCCGAGCCGCAGCTTCTGCACTCCAGGACACCCGGGCTGATCCTCCAGCCACCGCCTGCCCGGCTCCGGGGTCATGGAGATTGGAATGGGGATGGTGCCAGCTGTCTCCCAGCCAGGCGGGGGGACCGCTGCCACAGCAGGGACAGGGAAAACCCCAGCGAGGACAGTTACCATGCCTGGCAGGAACCATCCCATGTGTCACTGCTTCCCAGAAATGTCCTCTGTCCTGGGTGTCCTTGGGATGTCTCTGCTGTAGGCCAGGCCAACTTCTTCAGGAGCAGGTCCCTGTGATGGTTGTGGGTCAAAGGAGGAACACTGATGCTCTGCCAGGTCCTCATCCCCATGCCTTTCCTGTCCTGGCTGATGACCTCGACCTGATTTGATACCCCTGAGCCCCAGGCTGGAGGGAGGTGGCAGTGGGACCACACCCATCCCTGACAGGTGACACAGTGTCCTGTGGGACCACCTGCACCAGGGGCATCAGGCTGTGGGACAGAAGGGATCCTGCAGGAAGGTCATTGTCCCGGAGAGCTCCAGTGAGCACAGAGTGGGATAAACACAAACACGAGGGGTGAATGCAAACCCTGCAGCATCCTCTGCACGGCTGCCCTGCGGCTAAGCACCACATCCAGGGGCAGACCCCAGGTCGAGGGTACCATGGGGTGTGGGGGGAGTCACTGCTCTCTGGTTTGGGGGTCCCTTTGCAGGTGTGTGTTCCCTCTCCCAACCCCCACCCTGGCCTGATGTTGCAAGCCCTGTCCAGGCCCCATGCCCAGTCCTGCCTGGGGAAGCCTGGGGAAGCAGCAGGCTGGGGCAGAAGCTGATAAGGAGCAGCCTCCCGCACTCCCCATCTGCCTTTCCCTCCCTGCCCTCGGATGTGGCCAGGGCAGGAAGCGTGCCCAGCAGAGGCAGGGCAGCCTTGGTGCGTCTGCAGCAGGACCCAAACCTGCGGTGCTGCCAGGAGCCCCCCACACCCCCCTGCCAGTGCCTCACAGCCTCCAGCAGGACATTTTAGAGCTAGCTCTTCTCCTCTGGGATTTTACCCCAGCACCTCTTGCCAAACCCTTGCTCACATGGCATGTCCATTTTTCTGGATCCAGAGCTCCACACCCGAGCACAGGGGGTCAGTGGGGGCAGTCCCTGGGCTCAGGATTTCTCTTCTGCAGGACCTGCTGTCCCCACACGCATCCTCCTGCAGTGGCTGCCTGTGATGGGGGGAAATGACAAGTGGGGACCCCCTACCCCCCACAGGAGCCCCTTCCTGGAGGCACCACTGGTGTGTTCTGGCACAGAAGGGGTTCCCTCACTCCCAGCCCTGCAGCTGCTAAGTGGCCCCTTGTAAATATTTGACCCCCTCTAAGTGTTGTGCCGGACTGAGGCAGCTCTGAACAGGGGGGTCCCAGCTGCTCAGCCCCTGAGCCCAGCTCAGAATCCTCCGAGCCCCGGGGTCCCTGTCCAGGCCACAAAGGGCAGTGAGGTCCAGGCTGTGCTTTTGTTGGGGCAGGAGGTGAAGGGAGGATGGGGAGGGGATGTAGGTAATTGTGGGATTTGGAGCTTCTGGGGCTGCTGCCTCCTTGCCTGGCCAAGGTGCCTCTGCAGGGAGACCCCCCTGCCACTGGACACTGTAGAGAGGGGTCACACCCTGCCACAGTGAGCCAGCGGGCAGCCAGGAGCACCCAGGTGACAGAGACAGCAGGGCAGCATTGCCCAGGGGCTCTTGGACCCCAGTGAGCAGAGGGAGCACCCTGAGACAAAGGGAACGTGTTTGGGGACAGCGCCCTGAGCAGTGTGGGCACGTACATGGCAAGGGACAGCTGGAGTGGGACTGGCACACACCAGGCACTCGCGTGGCACCACTGTGGGGCAGGGGTGACTTTGTCACCTCCCAGAGGACATGGGAAAGGCCGGTGACTCCCCAGGGTCTCAGAATGTCATGCTGTGTCTGCAGGGCCGACGCCTCTGGGGCTGATGCGGTCCCTGGGGGACCAGTGAGAACAAACAGCGGCGAGTTTTCACTCTTGGCTCATGGAAAAAGCCGGGCCCACCCTCACAGTGATTCAGCAGCGTGCTCCGCCAGCCCCCCACGCAGGACAGGAGAGGGATGGGGACGAGCCACCACCACCATCCCCGGCCCTTTCCCCGCTCCCCAGGGCTGCAGGTCCCGGGGCACGGGCAGGGTGCTGGCAGCCTGGCCCCGTGTGTCACCGGGATGGGGCCCCAGAGGATGTCGCAATGCCCGGCTCCACGCCAGCCCCGCCGCTGTGGGATCAGCGCCTGCCTCGGGTGTGTGCGGGGCTCCCGGCCCTGTGGCCATCCTCGCACCAGGGGCCAGAGAGGGGGTGGCAGTGAGGGGTGTCCGGGTGAGGGACACGGCGTGGGGACCCAGGCCAAGGATGGACCAACGGCCAGGGCTGGCAATGATCAGAGTTGGTGTGAGGTTTAACTTCCATGAGGGACAAAAGACAGGTGGCAGTGCCACCCTGAACGAAGGAGGAGCAAAGCACTGGGGGCTTTACAGGGGTGGCGTGTTGGGGTAGGGCTGGGCATCCCACTGGGCATTCTAGTGGGGCCACTGGGCTGAGGACCATGTCAGCCAGGAAGGTGTGCTGGGGCAAGTGGGGTGGCAAGAACATCCACAGCCTGGAGAAATGGGTCCCAGGAGGAGAGGAGGGGTGTGGTCCCTGTGGGGGTCTGTGCCCCAGGCTGGCCAGTCCCCACTGTTGCCATGTCTCTGTCCTGTCCCACATCATCCCATTTGCAGCCTCAATTAATTTGCAATGGAGGGCCATGTAGGACCAGGAGCTGGACTTGATGAACGTTGTGGGTGCCTTCCAACTCAGGTTATCCCATGATTCTATGATTTCCAGATGCGTCCCGGCCCAAGCGAGGCAGAGTGGCACTGACCAGGCTGTCCACCACCACACCCTGTCCTGGTGACAAACCCACAGCTCCCACTGTGAGGGATGGCAGGAAGGCAGAGCAGGTCTGTCACCCACACTGGCTGTGGTTTGGACACAGTGCCAGGGTTGCAGCACAGTCTCAAACCTGTACCTCAGGTTTCCCCAGCACACTGGAGGAATGGGGCATCTTTACAATGAGCCAGGAGTTTATACTCAGGGACAGGCAGACTGTCAGGATCCTGCCCTGGTGCAGCCACTCTGTGCATGATTCTTTCAGAGTGTGTCCCCCACTGTGATGGAGGCTGATGGCCCAGGGATCTCTGGCTATGGATGAGGATCTCTGGATCTTGGCAGGAGGAGCCAGGCTGTCAGAGCTGTGTTTCCCCCAGCACCGCTGTGCTGGGATTCAGGCTCGTGGCTGCAGCCCCACGTGGCTCCTGGCCCAGGACAGTTAATCCCAGCAGCTGTAGGGCTGCAGCCCTTGGCACCCTCTGCAGCTGCACCTTGGGGCGGCACCAGCCGGGTCCCAGCCTGGTGTCCCTCTCCGTGGGCTGGGGTCCCACCCTGGTGTCCCTCTCCACAGCCCCTATCTGCAGGCTCAGGAGGGCTGATGGGTGGGCTTGGCCATAGGGAACAGCCCTAAATTCCCTGTGTTCCCCCTGCAGGCCGAGGTGGGATTGGTGCCACAGCGGCAGGTGGCTGCAGCCATGGAGCAGAGCCAGGCAGGTGCCTGAGGCTGCTGGAAGGAGCAGGAGGGGGTGCAGGGTGTACAGGACATGGAGCCCCCCAACAGCAGCACGGCCGGGCAGGACTCGTGCTTCGGGGTGTTCAATGGCAGCGATGGCCGTGCCAGCGCACAGAACAGCATCGCCTCGCCCTGGTTCTCCACGGCCTTCGGCCTCATCGGCCTCTGTTCCAACCTCTTTGCCCTCTGCGTCCTGGTCAGCTCCTCCCGCAAGCTCTCCAGCCAGGCCCGCTCCTCCTTCCTCATCTTCCTTTGCGGGCTGGTGGTCACAGACTTCATGGGGCTGCTGGTGACAGCCTCGGTCATCATCCCCTACCACTTCACCAAGTTCTCCTGGGCCCAGGTCGACCCCGGCTGCCACCTCTGCAACTTCCTCGGCTTCTCCATGGTCTTCTTCGGGCAGTGCCCTCTGCTGCTGGGGGCCACCATGGCAGGGGAGCGCTTCTTGGGCATCAACCGTCCCTTCTCCCGCTCCACCAGCCTCTCCAAGCGCCGCGCCTGGGCCATCGTGGGGCTGGTGTGGGGCTTCTCCTGCTTTCTGGGACTGCTGCCGGTGTTCGGGCTGGGCCGCTACACGCTGCAGTTCCCCGGATCCTGGTGCTTCCTCACCCTCCTGCCCGACACTGGCGACGTCATCTTCTGCCTGCTCTTTGCGCTGCTGGGCATCCTCTCCGTGCTGCTCTCCTTCATCCTCAACACCGTCAGCGTGGTCACGCTCTGCCGCGTCTACCACGACCGCGAGTCGGTGCAGCGGCGCCGTGACAGCGAGGTGGAGATGATGGTGCAGCTCGTGGGCATCATGATCATCGCCACCATCTGCTGGATGCCCCTCCTGGTGAGGCCTTTGTCCTGGTGTGCCCCATCACCACACCTCTGTGTCCCTCCTGGGTCTTCATATCCCCCCTGTTCCTCCTTGTGAGGGTCTTTGTGTCACCTGTTCCTCCTTGTGGGGTCCCAGTCTTGGTGTGTTCCCCCCACCTCCCTCCAATGTCCCTCCTGGGGCTTGGTGTCCCCCACCCTTCACAGTGAGGTCCCAGCTTTCACTGTGTCCCCTACATGTCCCTTCTAGTGAGGTCCCAGGTTTGAGGGTGTCCCCTTGGTAAGACTTCCCCTGCTGATGTCCCCCTGCCACCTCTCTGCAACCCGAGTTGGCCCCTGGTGACAGGCAGAGCAGTGTCCCAAACCGGGCCAGGACTCCTCCCAGGGGCTCAGTGTCTTGACCTTCATCACTCCCCCACCCTGGGGCAGCTCATGGATCCCCCACTGACACTTCTGTCTCCTTCTCTCCCCAGATCTTCATTGTCCAGATGGTCCTGCAGCAGCTGCCTGGCCAGGCCCAGGTGCTGCCCACGGACACGCAGGAGATGCTGCTGATCTACATCCGCATGGTCACCTGGAACCAGATCCTGGACCCCTGGGTGTACATCCTGTTCCGCCGGGCCGTGCTGCAGCGTGTGTACCCCCGGCTGCCCCCCCGGCCCTCCATCGTCTCCCTCAGCCCCTCCCTGCCCCGCAAGCTCACCGCCGGCTCCGTCCTGCAGTAGCACCCTGGGGACGGGCACGGGGCAGGGGGACACGGCCATCCCCCCACCTCACCCACGGTGCATCCTCATCACCTGCAGCCAGGGGCTTCCCCCCTCACAAACCCCATAGCCAAGGGGCTGTCAGGGGGCACAGGGCTGCTTCCCCCTCCCCGTCCCCAATAAAGCACAGCTGGTGCAGCTCTTGGTGCCCGCTGGGTGACCACCCGAGGGGGGCCCAGGGAGGGTACCTGGGGGAACCCACGCCGCTGACAATCAGAGCGACAGCCCTTCTCCTCCTGTCTCTCTTTTAATGAGCCACAGCCGCTGCCCACCACATTTGGGAGGTGTGCAAGGGGGATCCTCAGGAAGGTGGGTGGGTTGGGTGCCTTCTGCCCCCCATGCCAAGGGGCAGATCTAGGTGCTGCTCAGGAGGGTATGGGGGACAGGATGGGGACCCCCACCAGCACCTCAGCCCCAGATGGGGTGGGGATGAGGTGGGGGCGTGGGGAGGGAACAAAAGTGAGGGGCAACACCTGCCCCCCCAGCTACTCCTTATCCCCCTTGCCGTGGCAGACGGCTGCCCACACCTCGGCCACAAACTCCTGGGGGAAGGCGAACTCGCCCAGCACCGAGTCCAGCCCCTGGGCAAGCTGGGCCACGCTAGGGCTGCCCTTGGCTGCCTCCACCATCGTCGAGGCTGTTGGGGAGAAGAGGGAGGTCAGGGCCAGTGTGAGGGGCTGGGACAGGAGCAGAGGTTGAGTCAGGGTCTGGGGCAGGAGCAGGTTCAGAAGAGGCAGGAGCTGGGGCAGGAGGAGGAGCTGGGTCAGTGCAGGGGCTGGGGAAGGGTTGAGGTGGGGGTGAGGGTCATGACAACTCAGTGGTAGGGGCAGGGTCAGCTCCGGGTCGGGGTTCAGGCCCCCTCCTCACCCAGCTCGCTGTCGCGGATGCCCATGTAGCTCTCCAGCAGATCATCCACCCGCCGGGCGGCTTCTTCCTCGGGGGGGCTGGGCTGGGGGCGAGGCGCCCGGGGGTGAGTGCCGGGCAGCACAGGGAGCGCCCAGGGCCACGGGGATGCTGATCCCCACCCTGGCACAGGGTGAGCAGCCAGAGGCTCGGAGTGGGGGACTCGGGGTGGGCCTTACCCCCTCCTCCAGCACGGCCGGACCCTGTGTCCGCAGCCGCAGCGTTTCCTTCCCGCTGGCCGCTCTGCCTTCGCCTGGGGATTTGCCCGTCCGCGTCCGCTGCCCGATCATGTCTGTGCCCCGGGGCGGGGGGTGAGGGCACAGGCAGGACCGGGCATCCCCAGCCCCTCGCTGCTCACTGCCCGGCCATCCCCCAGCCCGCCAGGGGCACTGCAGGGTGAGCCGTGTGTGGGACGGGGGGGGGTGTCAGGGACACCCAGGGGTGCAGGGTGGGGATGCTCGTGGTTATGGGGTGCTCACAGATGCTCGGGACAACACTCACAGAGCAAGAGGGTGCCCAGGGGGGTACGAGCAGGTGTGGGAACCCCCACGTGGGTGCTCCAGGGCTGTGGGGTACACACACATAGTGGGGATGCAGAGGGGTACACATGGGACAGGGAACCCTGGAAGGCACTCGGTCACTGGGGAGGGCCTGCAGGGCCACAGGGGGCTGGGGATGATCCCAGGGTCCCCAGGGCAAGAGCGGGGGGACCTTCCCAACTCACCAAAGGCCTTTTTCGGCTGGACCAGGCGGAGGGTGAAGGGCTGAGCCCGCGGCAGCTCCCGCAGCATCCGGGCCACCTCGTAGTGCCGGCAGCCCACGATGGTGTGGTCGTTGATGGCCTCGATGCTGTCCCCCACACACACTGTCTGCAGCCGGTTGATGATGCTCCCCTCCTTGATCCTCTGGGGACCACGGTGGGACAGGGACACAGCGACCACACGGCACAAGGGGACAGTCAGACACAGCCCCCATCCCGACCCACACACAACCAGCTCAGTGGTCCCACGCCCTTTGGTAGCCAGGTCAGGCAGGGAAGCCCTCCCAAACATCCCCATGGCAGGGGAGATGCCCAGGGCCAGGATGGGCCCAGGGAAGGACTGATGTGGGGAGTCAGGGAGGAGCCTGGTGCCGGGGGGGATGTGCAGGGGATGTCACCGGCAGGCCACGGTCCCCAGGGCTGCCCCAGCCCCAGGTTGCTCCCCAGGGGTTCACCTTGATGAAGGCGTAGCCAGCCCCGTTGTCTGTGATGGTGAGGCCAAGCGCGTCCTCTGTCTTGGTCACCTCCACCTCCTTGGTCTCACCCCGGACGTGGGCGAAGATGAAATCCTCCAGGCCAATCTGTCCCCCCAGCAGCTTCTGCATGTCCACTTTGTGCGTGTTGAGGGTGCAGAAGAGGATCTGCCCCAGGGAACCCCATCAGCAGGGACTGAGGATGCCCCAGAAGGGCCAGAGGTAGCAGGGGAGCCACGGCCAGTGCAGGGAGATTCGGTCACATCTGGGCATTGCTAGAACAGAGGGGCCCAGGGACCCCCAGCCTGCCTGGGACCCTGCACTGCCCCATCCCTGTGCACCTTCCCCCAGCTCCAGGCAGCTGAAATCAGCCAGGAACTGGCAGCCACGGCTCCCTGCCCACATACAGAGGGTAAACTGAAGCACAGAGTCCCCATACCCTCCCCAGAGGAGCCAATACGACCCTGAGGCCGTAACACTCTTGCAGAAAATTTTGGGGACTTGGGGGAGCACAGGCCACAGACAGTGCCTCAGGGCGGGTGTCCCTGCCTGGAGCACGAAGACCCCACCCCGAGCCGCAGCCCCTCACCTCAGTGGGCGAGATGTCAAAGACCTCGGCGATTTTGGCGTAGAGCTCCTTGACGTTGGTGAAGCCCTCGATGCGCCCCGTGGGGCTGCCGTGGGCCAGCTGCGTGTGGAACACCAGCCTGGGCCGGCTGCGGGGAGCCCGGGGGGCTGCGGGGCCGGGCGGCTCGGGGGTCCCCGGCTCCTGCCCCACGCCGTTCTCCATGGGGCCGCCCTCGGGGGGCTGCCGGCCGTGCCTGCCCGCCCGCTGCATCCCTGCGGCGCTGCTGAATTATGGATGAGGCTGGCTCCCCGCCGGCCGTAAGGTGAGCCCCGCGGCCGGGAACCTGAGCCCGCGGCGCAGGTCACCCGCGGGGATCGGGTGAGCTCTGCCACGCAGGAGGAGCCCCGCCCCGAGCCAGCGCCATCGCATCCCCCCGGCTGGGGCTGGGGGCTGCAGTGACGGGCCCACGGCTGTCACCCACGGATCCACCCCAACAACCAAGCCCGGAATCAGCTCCAGAGCTCCCGCTGAGCACAAACACACAGAGAGCAGAGCGGTTTTCTCCCACGTTTATTTGCTCCCATCTCCATCCCCAGCCCAGCGGCAGCAGGAGATGGCAAATGGCAGATGCACAGCGCAGGCCCGGCAAGCGAGGGAGGGGTGGGAACACCCCGGTCCCCGGCCCATGTAGTGCTAAGTAAGAAAATAAGACACTCTCTAATTACACAGTCTGAGATTAATGACAGGCAGTCCCGGGGACACCAAGCCTGACCCCGGTTGCCAGCACAGTGGTCCCACAAGAGCAGGGGGGCTCAGGCAAAAGGGGCAGGAGGCAAAAGCCAGTGCAGCACACCCAGGGTCCCTACAAGCAGGAAGGGGTTGGTCACAGCTCCCCTGCTACAGGGGTCTCCCCCCTAGGACAAGGTGGGTCCCAGCACCCCTCTTCCAGGGGTCCCCTGCTCCCTTCCCTAGGAGGGGGTCACAGTTCCAGCTCCCCTCTGGCCTAAAGAGTTTTATTGCTTTCAGGAGCTCGCTGCCTGGTCCCACATATGGAGGGGAAGGAGGGGAGCCAAGCAGGGTGACAGGGGCAGGGTCTGAAGGCACACATCAAATAAAAGCTGAGGCAGGTAGTGGGAAGGAACTGCCCTCATGCCCTTGCAGGGATGGGACCAAGAGGCTCCCAAGCTGGCCAGGGGAGAGGAGGCAGCACCAGGACCAAGGGAGTCCCAGTCACTCCCCACTGCCCCCATTCCCCACAGCCCCAGTTCACCCTAAAGGGCTGTGTTCACTCCAGGCCCAAACCCACCAGCCCCTCCTTTGCCCCAGTCAGGCTTCAGGGAGCCCCTGGTTGGCAAGGCAGGGCTATGGGACCCAGGGGAGAGCCAGGGGTGCTCACGCCAATGCTGACCCTGTCCCAGCACTGCCCCAGCTGGGCTCTCAGCCCTTTCACCACTTGTCCCCCAAAGCTTAAGGTCCCTGGAGCTGGTGCAGCTGTGGGTCACACAGTCTGGGCTGGGGGTCCCGGCTGCAGGAAGGTGCAAGGGGCAGGGGGAGCAGCCAGAGCCCCTGCAGAGACTGTCCCTTGAGTGAGCTCAAGGGACAGGCCCAGGGTCCAGCCAGGTCCGGGGTCTGGAAGGACTGGTCCTCTCACAAGTGTTCACTGAAGAGGGAGAAAAACACAGCTGAGTTACAGAATCCCACAATGGTTTGGGTTGGAAGGAGTCCTAAAGGTCATCCAGCTCCTCCCTCTGCCATGGCAGGGACACTTCCACTGTCCCAGGCTGCCTCAAACCCTGTCCAGCCTGGCCTTGGGCACTGCCAGGGATCCAGGGGCAGCCACAGCTGCTCTGGGCACCCTGTGCCAGGGCCTGCCCACCCTCACAGGGAACAATTCCTGCCCAAGATCCCATCCAGCCCTGCCCTCTGGCAGTGGCAGCCATTCCCTGTGTCCTGTCCCTCCAGGCCTTGTCCCCAGTCCCTCTGCAGCTCTCCTGGAGCCCCTTCAGGCCCTGCAAGGGGCTCTGAGCTCTCCCTGGAGCCTTCTCTTGTCCAGGTGAGCACCCCCAGCTCTGCCAGCCTGGCTCCAGAGCAGAGGGGCTCCAGCCCCCAGAGCATCTCTGTGGGCTTCCCTGTACTTGCTCCAACAGATCAGCACCTTTGGACATGGGGACACTTCCTGAATTCAGGGACTGGGCTGCCCCCTCCCACAGCTCCCTGGAGCAGCTGCACCATCTCTGCCCATCGCTGTCCACATCTTTCCTGCTCAGTTCCCATCACCACCAGCTGGAGCTCAACCTGGCAGTGCCATGGGAACACCTGTGCCACTCTCCCAGCCCTGCACTCACCTGGCAATCCGCGACAGGATCTCCTTGACACGCAGCACCAGCGGCTCGTGCTGCAGGGGGTTGCTCTCAATGGCACTGTGCAGTTTGGCCATGTAGAAGTCCAGGGTGCTCAGAGTGGGGGTCTCCCCAGTGCCTGTGAGGTGACAGCCCAGT